CATGCTGACGCTCGTGAAACGAAATTATTTTTCGGAGCGCAACTTCTCCTAACGTTTTCATTTATGGAAATTAATGATTCTTTATCATTATTGCTTCATTTAACTTAAATTTATAACAACCAAATTGAAACTTCTCCATTGTAAATATACCATGTACGTACACACCTACAGGATTTGTGAAGTGGACCTGGGAATATGGATGAGGAGTTTTCGTAATTGCGAAGTTACCTGAACGAAAACTGAAAATTGCTCATCTATAATTCCAGATCTACTTGGCAAATCACCTGCGACAGGTAGAATTGACAGGTGCACCTGTAGGTGTGTACCTACCTTTAGACATAAATAAATAAATTGACAAGTCTCCCTGACAAGTGTATTGAGGTTCGTTCACTTTTAATTATTTACATGAAACGCGCTCAACCTTACGAGGATTTTTATGCCCGCCAAACTGACTACTGTAAAATTTCTTTTTTTTTTAGAAGCGACTCACGTCACAATCATTTAGAGATTATTCTCAGTCTGCGTCAATTTCTTTGACAGAATACTGTCAGATGGTTAAAAGGTCCCCAATAACAATAATTTTGCAGCGATTCCTCACTGGTACTTTTGAGATTCACAGAGTCTTTACATATCTCCTCACGAGTTCTCATACGCCCCTCTAAAATTTTTGATATAGTGTTTTAAGAATCTGAACCATACATCATAAACCGCACTAGGATCATTTTTCAAACGTGCTCTCGGGAAGATTCAAGTCCTTAGAAGCAATGCAGCTGGGTTTCAAGGGTTAGCACAGCTACCACTAAGAGGGTCGAAGGATTTGAAGATTGGTGCACCGGCCTTGCCTTCGACGTGTAGAGATTACATATAGAATTACTGAAATACAAAACCCTGTGAGAAAAAAATTAAGGCTAACAACGCCTTTTTTTTATCAGAAGCTGAACTCGTTTGCAAAACGGACAAATAAAGAACGAAATAATTCAAGAGATCTTAACAAAATTTTACTCACAGATTAGTTAAATTAATTGGCCCGGACATTGGCATGAGGTTAACCAATAATTATGATGGCTCATCGGGTTACAAAATCATTAATTATCATCACTTTATCAAAAACAGTGCATTGACTGTGTCCTTTTAAGTACGAAACCGCATGTGTAAGTTTTAAACGTAATCGGCGAAAACATGCCCGTAATAAATTTAGCGCAACATTGACATGCGCTTCTTTTAACCAACCCGAAAATAGCCTCGTTTATTTCTTCTTCATCGTACTTTAAGGCCAATCCACCTCCACTCATCCGTTCCATCTCGTTGTTCTCCGGCGATTATCTAAACACCGCTTCGTTATCTCGCACATGGCGTTGTTAGTAAATAAAGCCAATTAATTTGTCTGATAACTCCTTTACAAAACATCTGGCTGGGGCTGGGGAAAACTTAAAAGTCGAATAGCCTCTAAAGAATGCTTGAGATATATTTGAGACATTCCTAAAGCAGCTTCTCAGAATCTTTAATGACTGAGATAATTTTTGTGCAATTTTTAGAATTCCTAAAAAATGTCTTTTAAAAACCATCTAAAAATAGTGTGTCAATTTTGTTTGAATTGATTCTACCTTCTAACCCCTGCGTAATGTGAGTTATAGCCCAGTCAATTTAGACCAAAAATGGGCAATCAGAGGAACTAAAAATACTAGTTCCAATTTTTTCAGAAATGTGTAGGGAGAGGTTCCCTGAACAAGAAAAAATAAAGTCCCTCCAAATTCCGGTGCCGCTAGGGGAAGGAGGGGGCTTTAAACGAACCATTTTTCAGTTTTTCGCTTTTAACTCGAAAATGGTGCGTTACAGTGAAAAAGTTCTTCAGTACAAAATGAAAGCTTATTAAAATTGCTACTGTATTTTTTCTTGTTCAGGGAACCTCTCTCTAGACATTTCTGAAAAAATTGGAACTAGTATTTTTAGTTCCTCTGATTTTCCTATTTTGACTGGACTAGTAGCCCAATCTTGGAACTGTTTGAAATTATGGATTCTACAGGCCACATTCTATAAGAACATTTTTTTTCCCGGTCGATCTGAGACAATTTTTTTTTCGGGGCTCAAAAAAAGGCAGTGTATAACCTTTCTTTTTTACCAAAAATCGACTGAACCAAAATTTCTCGGGAATACACTTTTTCTTATTAATGTTGGTGCGTAGAATCCAAAACAATTCGTACTTTTTCGATCAGACTTCTCAATCAAAAGTTATAGACTAGAAACCAATTTCGAAAGAAAATTCAAAGGGCTGTAACTTTTGAACTAGTAGCCCAATCTTGGAACTGTTTGAAATTATGGATTCTACAGGCCACATTCTATAAGAAAAAATTTTTTCCGGGTCGATCTGAGACAATTTTTCTTTCGGGGCTCAAAAAAAAGCAGTGTATAACCTTCCTTTTTTACCAAAAATCGACTGCACCAAAATTTCTCGGGAAAACACTTTTTCTTATTAATTTTGGTGCGTAGAATCCAAAACAATTCGTACTTTTTCGATCAGACTTCTCAATCAAAAGTTATAGACTAGAAACAAATTTCGAAAGAAAATTCAAATGGCTGTAACTTTTGATCTAGTATAGCCCAGCCAATTTAGACAAAAAATGGGCAATCAGAGGAACTAAAAATACTAGTTCCAATTTTTTCAGAAATGTGTAGGGAGAGATGGTGCGTTACGGTGGAAAAGTTCTTCAGTACGAAAAACGTGAGTGAAAAACAATTTTGTTTAGAAATTACCACCTTTCCGGAACCGGTAGCACGAAAACGGTTCAGTTTTTCGTAAAGATGTATATAACCAAACTTGTAGCAATTTTAATAAGCTTTCATTTTGTACTGAAGAACTTTTTCACTGTAACGCACCATTTTCCAGTTAAAAGCAAAAAACTGAAAAATGGGTCGTTTAAAGCCCCCTCCTTCCCCTAGCGGCACCGGAATTTGGAGGGACTTTATTTTTTCTTGTTCAGGGAACCTCTCCCTACACATTTCTGAAAAAATTGGAACTAGTATATTTAGTTCCTCTGATTTTTCCTATTTTGACTGGACTAGAGGGCGAGCAACATTTTGAAATAATTAGATCGCATTGCTGATGAATAGAAATCTAGTTATTGGGGCATCTTAAAGTATTTTTCTTGAATTTAATGTCACGTTTATGCTGTTATACGCAATTATTGTAAGGATAATCCGAGGTCGATCAAAATTTTTCTTTTCCTAATATAAAGTCAAAGAGCCCCACATACTTCCGACTGTTTATCAGATTTGCAGGACATGTAAATCAGTATCAGTATTTCTTCATCCCTTAGCACCGTGGCCACAACCCACCAAAAATGTTAAACGGCATAGGTAATAGGAAAAGTGATATAGGAACCTCACGTTTGAAAGGCCTTCATTTTCTATTTGGAACCCCATTTCTTTCTGGATTTGATCGTCTGTAGTTTCAACAATATTGCACATTAAAGCCCTTTTGTTTATACAAATGTCCGGCCGATTTATTTATTTTGCTCTAATCGCTATCTGCCATACCATACTTACAGAAAAAATTTAAGCAACTCTGTTAAATACGTTGATGTTAAATCTATAATCAACATATGAGGTAACCCTGCATTGACACGGGATAATTTTTGTTAGAGAAAATTATTAATATTATACGTAATGATCGTCAAACATTCACAAATCTTTCCATTAACAGGAACAAAGAGCGTGTTTGTAGCTTCAATCAAAGAGTAACTATAATAATACTCTTTGCTTCAATGCAAAATTCTTAAATCCAGACAGTCTAAAAAAATGTAAATCGAGTGGCTATGAACTTGGTACAAATTTGGGATTTGGCTTTCCAATTTCCTTTCTTTATAAGGTAATAAAAAAAACGGATTTTGTCCCTACAAAAAACATACATGTTTACTCAACAAAAATTTACATTTTATTTAATAGGTCAACAAAAGCCTGTAATATTCCATATAGATACCTCTATTATGATGTTCAATTCGTTACAATGAAGAGCAATGACGTAATACAAGACAGGCACAATGCTGAGAAATCATGAATAAGTGGTATAGAGCAGAGCAACTACTTAGTTGTCATATGCGTTAAAAAGAATAGGTACATTAAAAAATGTAATTGCATTTCAAGTTATTATCATCTTGATCAAACAATGGGTGTTATTTTAGAGATCGCATGAAACAATATTATCTGGAGGAATTTGACATCACACAATAAGGCACCCCACTCTCGCGCGAACATGAGGACGTTGGTAGGGGAGGCGGCTCTACTCCCCAGCCAGAATTCCCCAATCTTGATGATTATCTTTGTGCCTTTGTGACAATCCTGTACCAAATCAGGCTGTACAATAGTGACAGATTGGTTAATTTTAAAGTTCAGTTTGGAATTAATGCCAATATCTGTATTTTTTATACATCCATGAAAATTAATGTACCAGATTTCGATCAATCATTGTCATCGATGTGGTAGTTCCCTTGTATATCAAATTGGGGTATAAAGAAATCCACCCTCCCATCCAGACTTGACTGTATTTCTGAAAATGTGACAGTAGTCGTTCTCTGTGTCTCTACTACCTACCAGTCCCTTAAGCTCTCATTGTAAGGCCTGGTCCTGGGCGAGTAGATCCAGTGGTGGCAGGCAGTATTATAAAATGATCTGTAAATACAACTTATTATACACGTTTGAAAAAACTGGCTCAAAAATATCAAAGCACGCACCAAAAAGAAACCCAGGAAAAAGTTAACTAAAACATTGATGTTAGTGCTACTAGACTACTAAATAATTAATTCTAAGTCATTAGGGTAGGGATTAAATTTTAAGATCCATAATTTCAATTTTTTAAGAAACTTGATGCACTTTTTCGATATATCCATTTAATTTAGTGATACTCAAAAATTAGAGAAGGGTAGATAGTATTTGTAACTATTTCAGTAAGTACTGGGTGAGGTTAATACATTTGATTAGATTATAGAAAATAATTAGCGTCAGGCTACTTAAAACAGGGTAGTTAAACCTTTATTAAAGCTGCCTTACATAGTAACATTAGAATTTGCATTGTTGCTCACACAAAAAGTTAAAAAATGTTTACAATTATCGTCTGAATATTCCTAAGTTATTTAAACCATCTACAAACGGTCTAGAATATCCAAGTACATCATCTACGTAAATTAATTATTGTGCTTTAAAATACAATTAACATTATAGCTACTAGTAACAACTTGGAACTAAATTGACTTGAGTATGACCCATTACATATAAGCCTCTTAACTATTATTATAACACTATTATGACAAAGTACTTAAAACTAATAAATAACAACATTTTCACTTTGTGTAATCCAATTACTTGCATAGGATTCATACTCAACTTAGTTTGAACTCAATTATAGAAAGGTGCATAAGGTATAGATACTAACAGAATTAGAAACATTCGTAACAAGAGAAGATGGCATAAAAACGTATCAGTAAATATTTTTGCAACTTTGGTAACAGATTCTATACAATAATAAGTAACTTAAAACTAGACTAGCAGTGGTATAGAGCAGTAAATAGTAGAAATCCAACAATACAGACTATTTTCTATAACGATGGACTTCTGGCTTGGAAGATGGCACGTCCGTCAGCCGATAGCTGAGCAATTAAAAAATAAAACAGTTCCAATCTCAAAATTATACTAGTAGGTATCTTTCCATTGCGGTTAATTGAAACACAGAGGTAAATAATATGCTTAATTATTACACGTACAACCTGATTGGTTGATTAAATCTATTCTTAATTAAAACGCTGACAAAAATTAAAAATCAGTGAAGAGAATCAAGCTGCTAAATTGTCAAAATCAACGAGAGGAATCCCATACCTATCACAGCTAAAAATGTTTTCCAGTGTATAATTGAAAGTAAAATATTGTAGGTACTTACAGTTTCAGTTGCATTGGAATATTATATGCTAGTTTTTGGAGATATTTCGCGCATAACAACAAGGGCTCTTGCCAACATTATCTTACAAAGTTATTAAATGGCATATGGCAAAATAAAGGAGATTCAGAAAACAAAACCTTCCAGTGTTTTAGTCTGAAAACTCTTTTATTCTAGTGTAAATTGGTGCATCAGATGTGTCATGTGGAAATTTGTATAACAAGAACTATCAAACAAAGTTTAATAAAAAATAATAAAATGTTCATTTTTGAATTCAATAATGTACTCATATCACGATATCACAATGCGCTCTATATAAGTCAATCAGTTGATCGCAACCGTTTGTGTCATATCAATGGCAAAATGGCCACACGTGTAGTAAAATTGAAAAACGGTGAAGTGTTAAATTGTAAATGCAAGCAATTAGTTTACAATGACAGTAGGACTGGCAACGCTGTTATCCTATGTCCGTGTACTGCCATCTGAATATGAATTCAATGAAATGTCATCAATGCTAAGAAGGAACTTTCAATTAAATTTTAGAAGATCACAGTGAATAAAATGAAGAGCAAGTAAAAAACGCAAATAAAATATAACAAAAAAAAGTTGCTGATGCTTGTACTCATCCATCATTATGGTTCATTCTTTATCCAAAGATTAGGACACATTATACAAATCTGCAAAATCGAAGGATTAGTACAAATATTAGAGGTGAAAGCATCTACATCGATCTTCGTCGATCAATCGCAGAACCAAAACAGTAAAAGTCACATTAACTGTAGAGGCATGAAAATCATCAATTACAATTATAATCATTACCATCTAGAAAATATGTTTTTCGTTCATTTCCCAAATAGCAACAATAGTCAAAAGACTTGATAAAACGTATAAAGGCATCAAGATCAATAATTACGCAATATGCCAAATCGGTTTTCTCCCAAACAATAAATGTGAGGATCAAGTCGCCTAAGACATTTCTAGCTAAAAACTAAATTATATAAAATAGAGCACAAACTATCAATATAAATGTGTAGCTTAAAGAGATAAACCCACATTAGCAATTGCCAAAATTGCAAAAATATGTTTTTTCTATAATGAATGTATGTAATTATTTTGAAAAACCTAACAAAGAGGTGAAATGTCTGAACACAGAACAACTTAAATTAACTCCTTGTTATACACTGTTAAAATTAAAATAAAATTATTATAACTACATACTTTCTTTGTCCACAAAAGTTGTTAATATCCCAATTAAAATCACAATAATAATGCTGAGTGAATCATTAGTGGCATGGCAAGGATAATACATGCCACAACACAGAAATTGAAAGTGCCATATAATCTACTTAACTAGTAAATGAAAAACATTGACGTCAAGTTATTTCAAATATGATTTGCTAATTCACTACCAACAGCCTTTGTAGTATAACGAGAATCGGTACTAGAACATGATAGACTCCGCGATTTAGGTTTAGAACTATTAGATCGAGATCTACTGGATCGAATTCCATTTTTAAGTTTTGATTGATAGCTACTTTTTGATCTTGATGATGATGTGCTTTTAGACCTTGATAGTGATCTGCTTTTAGATCTTGAAAGTGATCTACTTTTAGACCTCGACGGTGATCTACTTCTAAACCCAGAGGGTGATTTACTTTTAGACTTCGACAGCGATCTACTTTTAGAGCTTAAGGGTGATCTACTTTTAGATCTTGACAGTGATCTACTTTTAAACCTTGATAGTGATCTACTCTTAGATCTTGACAAAGATTTATTTTGGGACTTAGATCGACTTTTAGTTTTAGGTCTAAGATTTGTTTTAGTTGATGACTGAGACCTTGATCGAACTCTCTTGTTGCTTATCAATGGCGACCTGACGGGTAGTCTAGATCGACTTGCTGACCTAGATCGTTTACCATTTCTTGATATTGCTCTCTTTGGAGATGTAGATCTTGATCTGTGCCTCGACCGCGATCTCCTTCTGTGTCTAGATCGACTTCTTGACCTAGACCGCTCAGTCAGCCGACGTCTGGCGTATCTTGGATGTTTCTTTTGCTTTTTCATACTTTTTGCTATCACCCGCTTCTGGTGGTCTAATTGTGGGAATAAATCTGCAGAAATAATCCTTTTAGAAGTCATCACTCCAAGTTGTAAAGATGTGTAATTTCATTTTTTGTGGCAGGTTGTGGTTGTTTCGGCATATGATGTTTGAATTTGACCACAATTGTAACAAAATCATGAAAGAAATGTAACTAGATTGTAAAATTAAGTAAACACAACAGTAACCTAAACCTACAATGATTTTGCTGTTTGAGAAGACACCATCTAGCCAAATAATTGAATTATTTGTTAGTAGACATAACACTAATTAGTTTTTAATAACGTTTTTCTATTGATAGTCTAGGCATATTAGGAAAGAAATAGGGGGTTCAGAGGAAAATTTTGATGTTCTCCCATGTTATGCTTTTTGGGTCGCTGAACACGTATTTGAAGTTTGGAGGCAAACAGACCCGGAACTTGGTTTTTTTTGGTACTTTTTGCCCAAATTTGACTATTGCAGAAAGTGTGGACAAGGACAAAGGTATGTAACATTTCCTTCCCCAAAAAACGACATCACGCACTTGGAGCATAAATGTACCTGTCTAAAGTATTGTAACGAAGTACCCGTTTTCCACCCTGAAGTTCACACCCGAAGTTCTGACCATCCGTATATTTGTAGAGTCGACCAGCTTTGCTGAACACCTGGTATCTTGTAACGAAGCACCCGTTTTCCGCCCGAAGTTATGACCGCACCGTACATTTGTGAAGTCGTCCAGCTTACTGAAGAGTTCCTGAGTTTAATTATTTGCTTGAGGAGTGAGTTGTCCGTGTTTACATTTTAGGTGTAATTGTGTCGAGTTACCTATATCAAAATGATCGCGCTTAAAATACGAGAAGTAAAGTGTCCATCTTATATTTTTCCGATATCCGATAATTGCAGGCCGGGTAATTAATTAAAAACCGAATTAATTTCCACCACTTTAGTACTAAATACAGCGAGTAGATGGAAATTCCCAATTCCACCTACACCAAATTGGGTTTTCTTTATAAGGTACACGCTCAATTTTGGAGGGATCTTTTGCCTCTTGTACTTGCCTAAGTAAGTTTATTATCTTTTACCATGTTACCATCTGTAGTAAATTCTGTAAGTACCAGCATTTTCCGCAAGATCTTTTACCTTTCGCATTTACCCTTGCATTATAATCCCCGGCTTGTTGCTTTTCATTTTCTGCTCCGTTAATTTTCGCAACGTAAGCTTTTATTTTCGAAGAAAGAGGGGGATTTTCGGTACGTATTCCCGTAATTGTTTTCCGTAGAAGCTTAAACGCGTTTTAAGTGGGGACTTCGTTACTAAGTAGTTTCTGAATTCACTTATTTGCTCTAGGAGACGAGGAGTCAGGTTTGTGTGTTTTCATTTTGTTTAATTGTTTATCTTACCGCCGATAACGCAAGTTTCGTAGTGAATTTATCCGATTTGAAACTGTTCCTGTAGGAATATTTAAATTGTTTTTACAGCTGCCGAAAGCCCTCGTCAGGGAAGAAGAGAGAGAAGCGATTTTATTACGTCTTAGGCCGTTATTTATCGATAATCGATTTTAGTTTTCTAATGCTATACCAAAATACAGCATTGAAACCGGCAAGGCCGTGAGGTTTAAGGAAAATATCAGGTAATATCCGATTGCGCCGCTTGACTTCACATTCTCAGGAAAAAAGGATATTACCGAAACAGCCGAATTTGAAGATTTCATTCCGACTAATTGGATAAGTATAATTAAGGATTGACATTTAAATGAATTACAAAAGAACCGTCCGATTGAACTTGACCTTATCTCAAAAGAAGCGCTCTTAAAAAACGTGAAAGTTCACATCGGTCACATATTTTTTTGATGTCGGGGAAAGGCGTGATTAATTAAAAACAGTTCATCTGTTTGAACGTATCGAAAGTACAAGCGTACGAGACGGAAATAGCAGTTTGCCCCTATCAAATAGACGTTTAGATAAATAGAAAACGCATACTGAATTTCAATCTTTTTGCCATTTTACTTTACTTTACTAAGTACGTTAATTTATCGAGCGCTAATTTTTGCGAAACCGTACCGTATTTAAATCTTTGCCTTTTGCATCTTCGCAAAGTAAGTACCGAAATGTTTGTGCATTGCCGTTAAATGTCCCTTTGCAACCGTACCGTATTTAAATCAACGATCTTTTGCATTTTAGTGGTTAACCAAAACGTCTCATAATCTAAGTCTAGTAAACTCTTTTGTCTTCTGCATCTTTTGTTTTAGGCGATTTAACCGTATTTAAATCTTTTGCCTTTTTTCACTTTCGCCAATTAAATTTCGTTGCATCCGTACCGTTTCATTTTGCTCTGCAATTAAATTACCGCACCGTATTTATTGGAATTGGCTTTTAGCTAACTTTTGCTACCCTACCGCTCCATTAATTTCATGGTAAACTTTTTTTGTTACTTTTGCTTGTTTACTTTCCCGCAATTGCTTTTCCGCTGCTTCCGCCGATATGTTTTGTTGCTTTCATCCCGCTAGGGAGTTTGCCTTAATTTTGTTTTAGCTTTTCCGCCGCCATCTGCTGAACCTGCCCAATTCCTGAAGCTGCTGTTTCTCCGGTTGAGGTTACACCCGAGGATTCCGAGACCGACCCGCAAGATCTCTACTACCGCCAACCCTGACCAGGCGCGAGACCATTCGCTTGGTGGCGCTCGAGTCCATTTGTCCACCCGCCGCTACGTTCAACCGCTCCCAGGACTTAATTATTATAATTGGTATATTTAGTTATTTTTCTTTTAAATATTAAGCTACTCCAAGTTCGTCGCAGTATTAGGGTGAGTCAAATAAAACCTGACCCGCGAGTCTTGTGTCTCATGAGATGGGCACAGGCGCACGTTGATGGGTCGAAACGACTTGTGTTCATTTTATATAGAATGGGCACTTTCCAAAAACGCTTTCTTTTTGAGATATCGGACAAAAATTAGAAGAAGTGTCAAAATTTGGACAAAAAGTGGAAAGAAAAAGAAAGATCTGGGCAAAATTTTTATCTGCAAACTTCAAATTCGTGTTCAGCGACCCAAATAGCATAAAGGGTAAGAAAATGAAGACAGCAAAACTTCCCTCTATCCTAATATGCTTAACCTATGAATATTTTTTAATTAATATAGTGATTCGTAATTCTAATAAACCGAAGTTTGGTTATTAATGTTAAATAAACTAAGATTACAAAGCTAATTTATGGTTGCAATGTTCAATATTGTGAGTGGTTAGGTCACATTCGAGCCATTTCGATAAAACCTACCCTGCTGCAAAAATATTATTAATATTATATTTTATATCTTTTTAGTAAATGTTTAGTAAATTTTATATTATGTTTGCAATGTATTTCAATCATGAATTAGAAAGGTTAGAATTGTGTTCAAATTCAATTATTTTGTGTTGTGTTTTAATATTCTTCCTCTGCCTTTAATAATGATTGTAAGTAAAAGTAGCGTAAACTACAAGAATCCAGGCTCCAAAATAATACAGAATTTGATCCATACATCACCTTCTTCAATATTTATTCATATAAACGAACTGGGGGCGACAATATCGCGTGTAATTTCAATTTTCACAACCAAAAAAATGAAGGCACTGTCCTACAATTGATTTAACATAAAAATTATCTATACCAGTGTAGAAACATGACAAATGAAGCTAATACATGCATTCAATGACACTTTAAAGTGTGCTTGCAGAATGCGCAAACCCCATGTACTAATAATAAATTTGTTTAATAATTGAACATTCAGTAAACTTCACTTGTGTTGAAGAAAGTTTCGTTTACATAAGCTGAGATGGTGTACAGATCAAATAAACTGTATACAAAATGGTTTCCCTTTCTCTACCTTCCAAAAAATGTGAAATTGTTTGTGAATACAATACACTGTAAGTGTGCGCAAAAAGTGTAAGGATCAAGAGATTCAACGCTTTACAAATGTCATTCTGCTGTTACCAATTTTCAAAATGAGTATGTTCATTCCGCCAATACACACTTCCTAGAACATTGTTCTTGTTTAAATGCAAAGAAGCAGCCATAATTGGCGTGAGAGTAATGTTTTAATTTACCAAATGAGATTGCTTTAATTTTAGTATAGCTTGGGAACACGGCCTAAACTCTATAGGCACTGTAGTTTATAATTTCAAAATCTTTTGAAGAAATCTGTAGTTCGTTGGTACAGAAGCACACCGATAGATGGACAGATAGAATAATGAAATTCCAGCATTTATGCAAACTAAAAAAAAAACCACCCGCACATCTGCGCATGCGCGATTCTGCCCTTTTATATCTAAGAATAAGTGTACCAAATTTGGTTCCAATCGGTTTAGCCGCAAATGAGAGTACAGACGGACCGACATCATCGAGATTTTGTTTGATTCGGATTCCTGGTGCTTCAAAACGTGCATTTCCGTAAAAAAAGGGGGGGGGGGCATTTTTTACGCCAATGCAATATCTGCCTTACTAACGTACGGGTGGTAAAAAAAGCGCTGAATCTCTTTATGTTTGGTATTCTGCGGTCTGAAGTGTATTAAAAAAAGCGCGGAATTTCTTTGTTTGGTACTCTTTGCTCTGAGGTGATATTTATTTACACTAAACAGATACACCACACTAAATCCACATAGTTTTAGTGAAGTGAATCATGAATCCATTTCTTACCATGTGAAATTTCTAACGCTTTTTTGGCAGCATTCATTTCTGCCTGTTGAATACTGTGACCCATAGCGCTTGCGAGGCGTTTGTTTCGAAAATAAACCGCAACTGTATATACGCGCGTATTTGTCGGACCCTTACATTCGATAACTCTAAAACAGATAGTCAAAGTTATTGAATTGATGGAAATGAAAATGAACTTCTTATATATAAATTAAAGCCATTAGGCCCACAGCGACTCGCGTACCAAAAGATACAAACTCTTAAAGCTAACTGGCCACGAAGCAACCGGCTACAAAGCAAACTTGGTGCAGAGGTAAGCTCTCCGCGAACTAGATAAGTAGTCAGAGTGTGATCCAATGAGATTGCATGAATAATTTTGATATTATTGTAGAGATTAGGTTAAATCATCAGCATATAGAAATGAACTCCACGTGCCAATGCTAAGCGCGAAACTAGAAGGCAAGCTCTCTCTATTGCGCTTGTGTTAGTCGCAATGCCACAGCAATGTAATAGAGAAAGCTTGCCTCTTAATTTTCCCTACCTTCAGTATCCCCAATTAGCATTGACACGCGCACTCCATTTCTATGTCAATGGGTTAAACGGGCGGAGTTTTGCCATTATCTGTGCCGACTAAAATTCTGTTTAGAAAAATTAAAAAACCGCACCAGTTTAAAAATTGTTTACAAAATTCGATAATTAATTTTACTACTTTGTTCAATCATAATTATGATATATCTTCCAACGTTGAAAAGATTTTTTTAATCATGTAAAAATTAAATATGGCACGCATTTAACAAAAGAAAGTTGATAGGCATATATCAATATCCACCATCTTGAATTTCATTTCATATTAAACTTTTATTCATAATTATAGTGCTATTTAATTTTTTCTCTTTTAAATAACTTTCAATCCGGTCTGATTTATAAAATGTTCCTAACAGAATTTTAGTCAACACACAAAAACCATTTAACCTAGTCGCTATCTTGCTGAATGCATTTGTTTCCATGGAAAATAACTGTCAGATAAATGATATTGCCAGACTTTAAAATTAGTTAAATAGTATGTATGTATGTTAAACACTTCAAACTACTTACTGAATTTAGTACTTTTGGTACGTAATTAAGGAGATATTCGCTATTTAAAATTGTTGAACCGTATTTTGTCCAACTCTGCGCACAATCAAATAAAAAACATGAAAATAAGAAAAACAGATAGATATAAACTTTGTCTAAACAGTAGATCCAAGTATATAAATAAACCATCACCAAAAACCACATCAAGAAAAGACAATGTTAATGCAAATAAAATTTCAAAGCAAGTTCGAAAGTTCACCCGACCACCCTTCAGGCAAATTTAATTTAATTTAATGATGTAATACGGGAATAACCCCAAAAACACAAACACTTTTTTGGTGTACAGTTTCAGAGTACTACAAAAAATAAAAATAACTGCATTTTAAACTAAATTTTAAATTAAGATTAGGTACAAATAGAGCTGATAAATGGTAGTTTATATATATAATAACCCAAAATGCCAAAAACTATTACAAAAAAAATAATTTTAAAATTATAAAAAAAAATAATTCAATAACTCAAGTAAATGTACAGATCCTCTACGAAAAATACAAATACACAAGTACAATTTTTAATCCCTTAGAAAGGACAAAGAAAAATAAAATGTCACCAAATACTCGTAAAGAAACAAAAAATTCAAAATGACACTGTAAACATGTCGTGTTTCAGTTAATTATTGGTTAGATAAATCAAGGTAAGAAAAAGGAAAGGAAAATTTAATTAGCATCGAATTTTGTGCGGGATCAAAGTCTTCAGGAACTCAAATAACAGTCATTTCATATGGTCATGGTGTAGTTTGCCGCTGAATCGTATTCCATAAAAAAAATTCCGTTCTAGGATTCTTGATAATCTTAGAAAGAGTCAGTCACAAAAAATAAATTTGAAAAATCATAGGGAGGGAGGGTTAACTTCACGCAGCCACACATTGCGTCAGAAGTGAAATTTTTCCTGAAAAGAACAGCAATAGTTACAATCATCAAAATAATTCCGGGAAAAAAATTTTTTTAAATTTAGTTTAAGTTTTTTTTGTTATATTCCGATATCTATATTTTGTCTGATATTGTATCTACTTTTCTGAGGTTCAGTGGAAAAACAAAAATATTTTGAACTGCGCCACAAGATTGTCTTTCCTATGTTTTGTTTACTTCATCTAGTCTGTGTATCTTTTATTTTATTTTGTATTGTGCAGCAGGAAAAGATAATGAAGACCTTTATTATTATTATTATTATCTAACGTGTACTCCAGTCTTAAACACACCGAAATAGTTGAAAACATTTTATTCGTTCATGCCATAAGTGGCTGCAATACAACTGCTGCTCCATTCGGTCAAGTCAAATATAAATTATGTAAGGTTCTTCTCAAGAACCCCTTAGTGAATAGATTTGTTCCGATTTAGACAATTTAATACCCTTTTTGTTAAAGAAGTGAGAAAGAACAAATTTAATTTAGTGAGGCAATCACCCAACAAAGATGCCATCCAGCATCACGGTTCAAGGACATACTTGCAAGTGCAGACTTGGCTTGGGCACGAAACTGCAACTGTAACTCCTGAGAGAATGCTATAGAACCCGTTGGTGATGAAGAGGACTTTGGTGACCCAGTCGCCACAGGTTCGGCTGATGACAGAGCAAGACTATCTTGAATCAGATCAGGGCCCAGGTAAGAAAAAAAAACCTAGTGGGTTTTAACCCGAAAATATTAAAACGGTTTCTGATATTTAATACTTCACACATTTTTCCATAAGAAATATAGAAATCATATTTTGGTAGAATCCTGGGAGTTTCTATTCCAGAACATTTAACGACGTTAATTTTTGACGCAATAGACAGCTGCGTGAAGTTGGTTTTCAAAATTTATTTTATATGATTCCCTTTCTAACATTTAAAAACATCTAAAAGTTTATGGGAAGCGAGGGGCCTCCAGAATACGCATTACAAATTGTAAAATGTTATAAATGTGAGGTTAACTTCACATGCGGATCAGTGTTCCTGAAAAGTTATCTATGACAGTCACTATGTCGAAATGATATGTAGTAGATAGAATGACGAATGGACGAATCTTTGAGGAGTTAAAAAAATGTCATACGTTGAAATATTGGCGTTGTTGCCATTTACATTTTTCTCTAGAATATCACACACTTTCTTTTGTTTTATAGAATGACGCGAGCTAGAACAGTACGCGACAACGTCAAAGTAAAAAGCACAAATTATTTAAAAAATTTGCAACTATTTTGATAGGTTACTTTCTAATATTTAAAATAAATGTTATAGTTTTTTTTGTAACTTCAAGACATGACTGCAACATAATAATATTTTACCATTTTCATGGTCTCAGAGGTCCTCTTCTCACAGGTAGATATTTAATTAAACTGCCTTCATTCTGTTTTTGTAAGTATATCATAATTTATCTTAAGAATTCAAAACTGCCAGTCTTTTGCGAGCAAAACTAAGGTAAGTATTCATGACTGATTAATTACCACAGAAGCAAACATGCAAAGTACTATACTATGCCTTAGTAATCAACAAAAGAAGAAAAAGGAAGCACTAGACTACATATGAAAAAAAAGAAAGATAGCATAGAAAATCAAAGCAATAGTTGCACCTAATTAGTAAACATTTATCTTTACTTCAAAGATAAAGTTTACAATCTACCCTATTCAATGTAAAGAAAAAATCTTACAAGTAAAAAATTTCAATCATCCATGCAAACATTTTTCATGATTGAAAGATGCGAAAAACTGAATTAAATGTACAAACCTTATCTTGCAGTAAACAATACTGCAATAATCATAGGAGGCTGTAAACGAACACAGTCAATTAATACTCACTTATACACGGGAATATCAGGTTCCCCACCATCCATAGTTCGAAGGGTAAGACAACACTGTTGCAATTTAGATTTGGGATCGTTCCAATCTTGATTCATGATAAAGTCTTGCAATCGTGGAAACAGGGTAACCTGACAGAATACCTCGCAATGTTCCATACCCTGTAAGGTAATTAAGTTACGTAGATGGAATAACTCTGCGTTATATACTTGATCGACATAAAGTGCTCCAATAAATGCTTCAAGTAAATCGGCTCTGTCTTTTGTTTTGAGTTCAGCTTTGGGGTTATTGTAGACGGCGTAGGCGGACATACCCAGATCGTCGCAGACAACTGCTTGGGTGCGATTGTTCACCAAAGAACTTCTCAGAAGCTAGAAATGAAGATTTTAATATATATTTAACAGAAACGTTTTTTTCGAATAACCAATTAAGTAAATAACAAATTAGATTGAAGTTTGTTTAAACAGTAAGCGTAAACGAAATGAATGTTGCTGTGGGGTGGCTTTAGAGAACTAGAAAACTTGACGGTGTCAGAGCACGCCATGATTCTAAACTGGAAATTGTGATGAGGATTAGAGAATGTGTTGGCACAGATAAAAATGAAGATGAACCTAAAGAAGGTAAAGGAGAACTAAAAGTGTGGTAAATTGTAGATGACAATAAATATATTCGAATCAGAACGAAAATTAACTTAAAGCGCATTTCATTATTTAATTTGACACATACAAATGAAATAACACAAATTTATGGCAAAGAAAACAATTTACAATAGGGAAAATGTTGCGCTAAAGAAAATAGTATTTATGAAGGTAAAATGGTAAAATTTCAATTTAGCGAGTCGTTTTAAAAATAAACTTCACAAATGGCACAATCGTGCAACACAAAAAACTTTTAAAGAAGAGCACGTTCATTTACTAATCAATTATTGCAACAAATTTTTGGTGTGTTGTAAGAAGGAAAAGGTGTGCCCTAAGGAAGACTGTAGGTACCTATTGGATAAAAAATAAAATGTGACAAGTTTAATTATCGTCTATTTTCAGTGGCAGAATTAGTAGTAAGTTGTTTAAAAACCATATACAGTGTCCAAAAAGTATGGAATATCCTATATCTTTCGGGAGATATTGATTCTACCAACAAAATGGTTTAAATAAGCATTTTCGTTTTCTACCACTTTCTACAGTACCAGTTCATTTTAAATATAGTACAAACTGACCTTATGTTTCAAGGCAAAAAGGGGGTTACCATTTAAAAAAAATAAGTTTTTGCTTCTTCACAAACATTGACGGATTAAAGGGGGGGAGGGGGGCGGAGAAGGAGAACAAAATGACACAAAAATGCGTACCTGATTCAGCGGAGTTGGTCAGTAAGTTATTTTGTAGGTTTCAACCAGTGCTTTTCGAGTTCAAGAAGTACTACTCTTTTGCGTTTACCAGTTTCTTTAACAAGGCAATATTTTATTTGTATTTTCACAAAAAATGTACCTTGCTCATTCAATTTTAGTTAGAGTTTCTAATAAGTGTTCTTTTAAATAAAGCAAACGAAAAAAATTACGAGTAAATAGTAGGTATATTAATTTTGAAGTTTTGATGTAATATCCAAAAGGGCTTTAGTAATTATGTAGTATTGATTCATAATTGCAAAGTTGTATGTTTCATTCCCTGCATTTTGCGATATAATTTTCCCAAACAGGTAATTCCTTGATTTTCTATAAATGACTGCGATCGGCAAAATATTGCTTTTCTTTGAAATATTTGCATTTCCAGTAGTTCAAGATAATATTTCTTTACATATAAATTGTCGGACTAGAACCACTAAATTTTATACTTTTAAAAGTATTTTTTTCAAAAATTTCCCGGACCCCCTCGTCTTTCACCGCCCCTTCCTGGGACTCCGCCCCCACCCATATATTTCTATTAATCCGTCCTTGTTCACAAATGAGAACGTACCTACTCTCACTTGCCTAAAGCAGTTCTTACAATCGCTATGTAAACCAGGGGGGTGCCAGGTTGAAATAATACGCGTATGTAACATAAATTTTCGGTTAAAGTTACGGGAATGGCAAGCGGGACACCCTGTATTTAACATTTTTCTCAGAGTTTGATCAGGAAATATGGTGGAATGTTTTATTTGTTCATGTAATTTAGGACGTAGAAGTTAAGTAACGTGTGGGTAAAGGAATTATTGGGTCGCTTCTATTGGAAAATTATTTAGCAGATGTTTAATAAGGGGACTTTATCAAAGTGATTTAAATGATTTAGATAAACGATGGCATATGTGCAAAGTTGTAGATAAGAAAATGTAAATAAGTGCTCAGCCCCTTTCCGAATATGAAAAATTGTGATGGAGATGGTCTAGACTAGAAAGAATGGCGCGCCGATCTAACGAGGCGGTCTAGCTTCATTCGACATTTGAGCGTATGTAACAGTCCGTTGCGTGTAAATTCAAATACACATTTTTCCGGTAGTAAGCCGGTGTTTCAAAGTCTTGTTTGTCAGTTAAATTAAGAATTCAGACTGGAATAGTTTCCGATTGCTGTCCAAATAGTGTTTATGCAATTAGATTCAAGTTATAGTAGAGGAGGGGATTTTTCAATTTGAAAGTTGTCTCTTCCTTAAAATTAAAGTTTGTATCAGAGCTGCCAATTCAACAATGTCAATCGTCATTGAATCAGTGTTAGTGATTTAAAAAAAGGAAGAAAGTTTGTGCACACAATTGTGTCTTGATTTTAAAATAATTCTATGAAGTGTTTGTTTTCGTCGTTTATCGCATCTATACAGGCGGGTGGGGATAATTACAATAAAGTAGTGAGCACTTTTGAGAATTTTTTTTTCGACCGTTTATAACAGGGTAAAATGTTCAATGAAGAATTGTTTGTTTCGTAGTAGTGTCAATTTGAATTCCAGTAAAAGTTAAAAAAAAAATTCAGATAAAGTTTGTTTTTGTTTGTTCAATGAAGATTTCTCTTGTTTCAGGTTAACCGAGGATAACTACCAGTAGAAGTCAAAATTTCCTAATCCCCATCTTCATCTAAAGAAGTGCGTCAAAAAAATCATCAAGGAATAAGTGAATTAATGTCGGTAGATAAACAAGGCCGATCCTAGACCACTTTGACCTTGAGATCTGTGCATGCCCAAAGTTCAAGGTCATTCGATTCAGTTCTTTTTGTCGACGAAAACAGGTCTGTTAAATGGACCTATTTCTACTTAACAGAGCTGTTTTTAATGAACCGACCTGTTTGTGTTTAACTGGGCTGTTTCTGATAAACAGACCTGTCGACAAACAGAACCGAATCGAATGACCTTGAACTTGGAGCATGCGCAGATCTCACTGAATTATAAGATTATCTAATTATTATGAAATATCCTCGGAAATATCTTATAATTAGAGAAAAAAATTAAAAAAGAAACACCGTCAAGTCCTTAAGAGCAGTGCGTCCTACCTGGGACACACTGTATATCTAATTTCATAACAAGAACCACCCCCAATTAATGATGTATGAAGATTAACCAGAGGTAGAATGAAGCAGGACAAATGACTATTATGGAAACATCACAACTGACGTGGATTTATTGTACCAAGATACGACAGCCTTAAGAAATTTAAAATAATGGATGTATTGTTATTATTTGGCAACTCTTGTTGCTTGTTGTTTTCAGTAAATAAATTCGTTTAATGTTTGAGGTTTCAGTTCGTACAAATTCATAGTTGTTAGTGTTGAAAACAATTACTTGGGTACAGTCGGTAAAATGAATAAATGTGCATATCAGATTATGTGTGTATCTAGTTTTTTAAAGCGCGGACGATAACCTAAGAAAGACGCTGTACGTTAAAGCGCTTTGCATTGAGCTATGGAAGTACCGTATATTGCTCTTAGTTTATCGCCCGCAGTTAGAGTAACTAAATATCCACTTACCTTCTAGCTCAAATGCTATGTGTAAGAATGACAAAAGTATATAACCGCATGAGCTGTATTCCAATATTCACATTTACCAATTTGACTGACTATAGTTACCCTTACTGACCACTGTGGCCGCTACTGGTTTCTATATCCTTCCTCTCAGCAAACGGAAGCTCGCTCCTTGTACTTGCTTTGTTTACTTATTTTAAAACAAGAATTTTTATTATTGTGGGTAACTTACCTGTTTTAAGATCCAAAAAAATTGGGTCATATTTACTTGCCAATGGATGATTCCCATTTGAGAATTAAATAAGCATACAAAACAGTTCCGAGGAACCGCCATGGAGTTTAACAACAAATGTAATAATACAAACTCTGATCTATATTATATAGCAGAAGCTACCTATGTAATAATTACATTTATAATAATTTAACACTTTATTATTATTCCACTGCTGTTGAGATAGCTGCTACAATAAAGCAATCTACTGTCAAAATGATAATGATCATATTTAACCAGCGATTGTAATGCTGTAGCAGTTATAGATTGTGGAGAATCTCCGAGAGATTTCTATATCGCTGCAAGTTTTATTTGCGAAATTAAGAAAACACCTGGTACTAAGAATTACAAAAATTATTAGTAATAGTTTCTCAGAAATTTACTAAAACCTCGCAACAAACGTAGTGGAATACTTACTGACAAATGACCCTCGTGATGCTCAGGAAAGTACTTATATAAATAATCGGAAGCTATAAGTTGTAAAACGGTGTCCCCGAGAAATTCTAAACGTTGATTCGAACCGAGTGTCAAATTTGTATAGCCGACGCTTCGATCCGTAAACGCCCTTGCCAATAAGCGTATATGATTAAATTCCACTCCAATAGAATCTTCAAACTTTGTTAGTTTCCTAAGAAGTTGAAATTTTGAGATCCATTCCCGATCTCCCCTTGGTTCCTGCTCCTGTAAGGGATGCCGTGGCAACTTCATCCAAACGTCAAATAAATCTGGATCAGATTTGAAAAGAGTATTGCTAAATACCTTATCGGCTACCTAACAAAGTTAAACGGTAAAGATCTTTGCTAATGTGAGTAATTACGTACCTCAATACCACCATCTAAAAATAGTGCACCCATCAGAGCTTCAAAACAATTGGCCATAGCGTGTCTCAGTTCCAAATCGTGACATAGGTCTGAGCCGTGAGCATACAGCATGTATTGATCCAAGTTTAAAGCACGTGCCAGTACTGCCAGATGTTGATTTTGAACAATTGCGGCTCTGTACGTCGCCAAACCACCCTCCTCCAGATCAGGAAAGGAATAAAACAAGTGTATTGAAGATAGGAACTCTACAACGGCATCGCCCAGAAATTCTAACCTTTCATTATGAGTGATATTAGATTCAGTTTCTTGTTTCTTGCCAAACCGAGACATAATATTTATAAGAGTATTAATCCCTAAAAAAAAGTTAAGAATGCTTGCGCTCATCGTGAGTATGCAACCTCTTTTCCTGGTATTCATGTAGTGTATACGTCTGTCTCCATATTCCGGTTGTCTTATTCCACAATTGGTTAAACTGTTACGCGCATGATCTGGATTGGTACCAAAGTTTTCCCTATACGACGGATGAGTAAGAGCCAATTGGAGAATGGCTCTATTTTGAAATTTGTACTCTATGGTTTCCTCTAGAACGTTTAATGAGTTATGAAACCTTAAATGGCACACCAAAACCGGAATCAACATAGCATGCTAAAATGCTCAAAATTAAATCTCTACAATGTAAACGAAGAATACCTGAACAATATCACACATAATGCCAGTACGATAAAACCCTTTAGATGAAACTGCAACCGTAACATCTCGCTTCATTTTCGATTGTGTTCTCATCTCTTGCAATTTGTTTTCTTTAGCTTCTAACTTGCGCTTATCTTCAAATGTTGGCTTCGACATGTTGGCCAAAAGATGTCTAAATTTCACATAATCTCTCCATGCCTTTTGGTAACTGGACAAAAATCAATGTTATTTTAATGTAACTAATAAGTAAACACATACTCGGGATTCCCAGCGTAACTTAATTGTGGCGGACGTATTCCAAAATGGACTATTTCGGGAAATTTATAATTGCCCGGAGTTTGAAGGTCACTGTTCCGATCTAGCTGATCTACTCTTACAGAACATGGCTTTTTGCCTGGGTAAGTCACAACCATTCCCTGAACGAAAATGTCATTAAATTCATAATGACTAAACCAACATTTTACAAAAAGAGAAAGTTTGCTATATTTAAACCGAAACTCATCAAAAAGGACTTTAAATGTTGATGATTAGTAAGTTTTCCATTATCGCCCTCCAGTGTATTTCTGGCGCAGAAATGAACCTACCTTAATTTCATCCGCATACGCTTGCCATTCGTACTGACTCATGTTAACCATATCTTCTAAATGATTCTCATCAATTAAAGGAATCGCGTTATCCAGGAAGTACTGTAACACTTCTTTCATAGATAAAATTTCTTTTCCATTATCTGGCAACTTTCTAACAAATCTTGGCATAAAATGAAATTGGGAACAGCCTTGCTCATCTCCTGCCGCTTTAAAATCTAAATCAACCAATTCTAAAATTTCTTTAAACAAATAGTCGTCTGAAACACATGGAAATTATACCACATTCTTAGACAAAAAAAAAACTCACAGAATAAATCCAGTTCTAATATGACAAAATTTTCCGGGATCTTTTCTTCGATATAAAGAATGGAATACTCAATATTGAACCTAATAACTTTACACGTGGGCAGCTTTATTAATGGAATATGCGAGAACATTGAAAATCCTTCGAATATAAACTCGTGCTCGTCATATGGAATGATTGTGGGAGTTTTTATGAGGAAGTTTGTTGGTGGCGATATGGTGATTCGATAATGATACAATTTATCGGAGTTATTGGATAATTTATGGCAAGTTTTAAGAAATCTTTCTCCTGCGTAGATACCATGCCTGATTCCACACTTGCTAGACCTCTTCGAACATCTGCACAGTGGGCCATCGTTCATTTCACCTGGATCATTATACCTGCAAACAAATGAAGAAAAATACAACCATGAATATTTTTGTGTAAATTACGTCGGGTGGACGTTTTATTAGGCTTCCCCACCTGTAGTAACCCTGTATGTCTAATTTCAATTTTTATTAACGTTAGATGTGGGCACGGGGTGGGATTGAACGCAATTCCAAACATGTCATTTGATTTCAAGATCGATTTTGTTTTGTATTAAAAATATTAGTTGTCAATTTTTCTCATGTTTTTCTCCAACCGTAGATAAGAAGTTTTCTTATCACCTTATTGAACACTGGTGCAGTTTGGGAATGAAGAAGGAAGTAAATGGAAAGGGAAAAGGTGGGACGTTAATCGTGGCTTATTTTGGTGAAATATGTGAATCCAGTTTTTTTGGACGTGAAAACGTAGCCGTTATACTTAACAAAACAGTCAGTTTTGTCGACAACGAGGCAGTTGTAATTACAAGGAGTGTAATCAAACAAGTGATGTTCCCAAGTACCATCATTTTGTGTCTGTTTGTGCATCTGTTTGTCTAAAAGACGTTAGGACCGGAGATTTTGGATTATTGAACCTTGAAGTTAATTAAGATTTACTGTAATTAATTATCGATCGCTTGTTTGCGTGGTATGTGTGGCCCTGAGTGCCTGCTTTTCTTTCAGCCTGATTGTTTTATGTCAAATAAATTTGTTTATATTCAATGACTGGTTTTGTGATTAATGAATGTTTTTAAAGACTGTTGAAGTTATTACATATAACAAGAAGCGGGTTTCATCGCCACTGAATACACCAGTGGGGTCTTGCAATATTTAAAAGTAACTTTTTTCTTTCAAGCACATATTCTTCAATATTAATAGACCATTTTCAAATGTTAAAAGGAGAAAATAACTGGAGTACTACCATAGAGGGTATTTCTAGGGTTTTCTTTTTCGCAACAATATCATATTTTGTACAAGGTGATCCAAGTTGGCCCCTTTCTTATGGAAACGCCCTTTATTTTAAGAGATAGAAAAAAATGGACGGACCTAGGTGTCTAGAGCAAACAGAATTCAGCCGATTTCTTTAATGCCCCATAACATTCTTATTATTAAAGATAATTGAATTTTAACAAGCCTGGATAAGAAACGACCACTTAAGAAAATAAAATTTGTCTACTTATCCAAAACCTCCAAAATGGATATACATGTGCATTTATACAATTTCTTTAAAGTGTATTTCAATCATGTAAGTACAATATACATGGTGTTGTTAAATACGGAAGGGACTAATTCTTTGGTTTCTCCATTATTCCCTATTTTAACACCATACATGGTTAAGGTATAAGAAAAAGAAAAAAATAACCTTTCTAATAACGTATCACATGACCTAAGTTGCAATTTAAAAATATTAAAGATGGCGATCGCACCCAAAACACCCTGTATAAAAAACTTCTTTTTAACCTCATAATATGTAAATAATTTCAAATGGAGGCGTTTTCATTTTCATGTCTATATCTCAAACGGTTTGAGAAATAGAGCTTCCATATATTATATATTTTTCAAAATTTTGAATTGGGTAAAAAATAAGGTTTTTATTTTTGGTTCATGGCTAAAATTAAAAACAATGTAGGTTGTGATACATCAATGTAATCAGGAAAAATAATGCAAAAAAATTTACGTTAAGATATACAAGGTGTTGCATTGAAAAAATATCAACTTTGGATCAAACCTCAGAAACGGCGGGTAAACAAAATTTTTTACTACGCCACTGGATTCTATGTAAAAATATCTAAAAGAAACAGTGTTTACCTTTTTTCTATCTTACATGGATAGTAAGATATGATAACATTTTAAAAAGTCAAACTTCGTATTCACGCTGTATCTCAGAAACAAACGTAGCTAGATCTAAAGTAAAAGTAGTAAAATCATTTCAGCGGCACTAGGTCTGAAGAGTTTGGAAAGATTCACTCAAGGATGGCCCCTACACTACTTAGTGGTAGCGCTAGCTCTTAAAATTATGGCGCAATCTGGAGCTATGTCAGCAGAATACAAAACATCCAAATTTTACATGAAAAAAAAAAACAAAATGGTAATGAATTTGTAATGACGCTAGCTGAACTCAAGTGTGCTATCTAGCGCTTGGTAAGCAGAACACAAAACGTTAAAATTTTACTTAAAAAACAGAATTGTGGTGCTAGGAGAAATTGACTGGCTGGGGCTAGCTATAGAGATTCTATCGCAATCTTTCTCTTGTCGGAAATTTAAAATGGTGGTTAACACAGCCGAAATTTGCTGTAGCACAGATACTACCCAAACCGCATTAAAGTTAAAAACCACTATTTAATGAATAAACAATACTATTATGTATTGTACAGGCAAATAAACCTCGGCTATTATACGTAATTGTGAAAGTGCAGCCACCATTATTTATGAAATCAAAAAATACGATTTTTAATAATTTGCGCAATCACGATTTTGGCTATTTCAGTTCTTAGTTCTATAAAACATATGTACCAAATTTGGTTCAATTGGATGCAATAGTTTAGCCATAATATGGAAAAACGTCAAAAATTGACAGTTTTTGGTTACTTTGCCACACTTGCGCATGCACGATTCTGCCCAAAAGCATCTCAGCTCTTCCTTTATGTCTAAGCATATGTGTACCAAATTTGGTTCCAATTGGTTCAGCCGGAAATGGAAGTGCAGTGACATCGAGATTCGGCTTCCTGGTGCTTCCAAAACGTGTATTTCTGTAAAAACAAAGTGGATGGTCATTATTCCCCAATGCAATACCTCCCTTTACTCACGTGCGGGTGATAAGAAAAGCTGGTGGCTTACATTTTCGCGAAGAATACTTTATAGTCTTTAAAAAATGGGCTTAAATTCATTAAAATGATACACCACACTGCTTTTCTGTTGTTTTGATTTAGTTACATAAGGCGTTTAAACTAAAATTGTGATTTTCTATTGTGTTAATACCAAAATCCTAACAGTACCTAACCTTTTTTCACTATGCACATAAATTAACCTATGTAGTAAACTTATGTATGAAAAATCGAGTTCAAAGGGCGCTTTAAAAATAATATTAAATCAAGATTCATGATGTTATGGTATGTGGCAACATTGCAAGTTATATTTCTCCTTCGACCATTTAAACCTGGACTGCTATAATAGTGTCGTATAATATGTATTAATATAAAACTTGAAGCCAACATCTGCAGCGCCATCACTGGGTATGACTAAAATAAGAACTAAATCTGAGGCGTTAAATATGAAATTTGCAATGACAAGTATATCCACACAAAATAAATATTTATACAATAACTGTTTAACTTTATACCTGTTGAATTAATTTATATAATAAATAAATTTGAAGTATATATAATTTTTGGATAGTGATAACAATAGACCGGGGAATAAGTTTTTATTTAACAAATGTATATGTTTATCGCTGCATCTAACCAATCTCCAGGATTAAGATCCATATTTTGATGATCAGGGATGTGATGTATTCACATTAGGATTTTCCAGTATAATACTAAACGTCAACATCAACGTACCTGTTTACTAAGATTATATTTACTTTAATTAAAGATGTACTTAATTTACATGCCTTATTATTTAATGTGGTCAGAAACCACCACTAGGGAAAGTGTTTACATTTTTATCTACTGTCATTTCTTCAAGTTGTTCTTGGTCGGAGAAACTAATGACATCTTCATTTGATGGATTTGGAAAAATTGAAGGAACCGAATTAGGTCTTTTACTTATGCAAAAAACGTTTCTGTTTGAAACGCCTAGACCATATAGTACTACTTATATGGTCTAAGTACAAAAGGGACAACTGCTTTGTGATGGCGCTTTTGATGTTGGCTTCATAAATTTTGACTTGCAAGCAATCCAGTTATTTTTTCATCCAAGTGTAAACAGTTTTGAGCACCAAGAATATGGCCGCCACACGAAAATTTGCTTCAATGCGCAGCATTGCCCTTGATAAGATATTATCAGTTCCCCTCTTCCATAGTGTAAGAGTGGACCAATGATCATTAATATTTCGAGTTCTGAGATTTGACACTTTTCACATGAATATAAATGACAGCTGTCGCTATCTCATAGTATATTTTCTAATCAAAATAATGTAATTAAAGAAGTAATTTGACTTATGTTTTTCATATTAAACAACACGATTGTTACTATGACGTACCGGCGTTCAAAATACAAAATGATAAAATTGTGTATAGGTAATACACAATTTTATTTTAATGCAGAAATCATAAAGCAATTAACTATTTTTGAAAATATTATTAACGTCAAAAAATAGTAAGTCTTTCCTATCCCAGTGGATATGACACCATTTTAAAATATGGGATAAAATCAAATTAAAAAAAAAACACATAGTAACAAATAACATACAAAAAATAATGTTGTAGTTTTATCGAAAAGGAAAGAAATATTAGTTAAGTCAAGGCCAAATTAAAGTAAAATAATGCAGTTTTTTGAAAAAGATTCCTCGAGACACTAATAACTGCAGCTACTAATATGCTCAAATACAAAGTCGAGTTTCAAGGCCCAAACTTTAAAAAAAAAGCACAAATGCATTAGATATACGAAATTTGTTGTCAATTATTCAACGGAACACAACAATGCCCACATAAAATTGGGCAGGGTGCTGAAGGAGATGGGGTGATAGGGGAAAGGAATGATGCCCAGCCTTCGGGTCCTCTAATAGAAAAATCTGAACTAAAGAAATGGTTTCCCTAGTAACTCCCACCTCCAACCCCCGGAAGTGGAAGAGGATATTTACATATTAAAAAGGGAAGATGGTTGGCCTACACCACAGACATCATTTAGTGCAGTGAAAACAAATACTGCTTAAGTGTCAGAAAGAGGTACTCATAACGAGAATTTTGTTAAATACAGTGTCTGTCAAAATCACTACCTGGGTAGTCAAACTCATTTATGCACCGCGGCCAAAGGCAGGCATTAGCCCCCCACTGCTGCCTACCGTAACCCCACGCATGTGGACGAGCACATATTGTAGCACTTTGACTCCAACTACCATACTTACCACATTTCTGGATGTAATCTGTCTGGATGCTGTTGCTTACGAGTTAATTCCTCCATACTACAATCCTCTTCATCAGTCAGTTCCTCCTCTGAACTGTCTGAACTACTAGCCTCTTCCACTACAACAGATCGGTATTATCAAAAACTAATTGCCAGAGCAACTTACATTTGTGTTTACAAAGACGAGCCCTATTTTTCCTTGGTGGAGGTTCATACTTTGGCTTAATCTCATTAATTTTCTTAGCTCTCAACATTAAATTTTCTTTAAACGATTCGCAAACCTTCAGTAACCTTTCAGTTGCAATCGTATTCTTAGAATTATTTGGATCCTTTTCGTAATACAAATCTGCCGGAGTTGTCCGAGTCCAAATATTCATTTCCGCCTCCATTATTTCGTCTACACCAATTTTTGATAATTCCCTAATCTTATCGCATACCTCCTCGCCCGTAGAGCAATAATTCTTCCTCCACTTCGTTAAAATTAAATCACGTTCCGTGATTTCTTTCGGTGATTGATTGGTGTTATTTGTATAGGAGGGTCGGGTACTTGGCTTGTAACTTCTACGTACTGGGGAACGGGATCGACGATACCTAGGTCTGCTACGTGCTCTAAATTTTCTGCGGTCATAGTCCCCATAATCGTGCTTTTTCTGTTCAGAGCTATGGTGGTCTTTTTCATAAGTTTTGCCGTTATTACTTTGTAAACTTTTATAGGATTCCAATTCCTTTGAGTAATCGTACGATGTCCCACCTTCTCTATAGCCGCCGTTACTACTATCTTCTCGCTTAGGACAGTTATAATACGGGGGAGTTTGAGGAGGATAGTAGGGAGGTGGATACGACGGAGGAGCATATTGGTTGTAGGGTGGATAACCATAACCGGGGTAATTATAAGAATTAGGGTATTGGTAATTAGGGGGGGGATAATTGGGATTATAATTATAGTTGTAATTATTATAGTAGTTATTTCCATAAGAAGGGACTGCTTGTGAATAATCAGGGGGAGGTGGAGCAGAAAGAGGGGGAGGAACAGGATGAGCATGTTCAGGCGGTGGGTAATTATGCCAACCCTGTGAGTGTGGGTAAGGGGGTTGTGAATTGTATGTCCAATCTCCCATTATAAAGCATTAAAATCACACGTGCATAATAATTAAATATTTTCTAGTAAAAATATTACTTCATACTTTCCGAAGAATACTGTAATTTACTCATCTTGATATCCAAGAAAATCATCGTGGAAATAAAACAATTCCTCATAACACCAACCAACCGCCGCCTAGGTTAGTGACACGAAACATCTGTCACTGTGCCCATTGCCCCACTCTGTACAGTGTACACCTTTCACAGGGGATTTTTGTTTTGCTATGTTGGAAATATGATTACCCCATACACAAAGTACAGGGTGCATCACAATGAATATTTCGAGCTTTGCCATAATAACTCACCCGGATCTATTGGATTGGTGCTGTCGTTCATTATTTACCTACGTATGGCTACATAATATCATACACATATGCTCATAATGTTTATGCATAATATACCACATTTTCTGTCACTGTCAATGACCGTGGTACAATCTTTTGCAGATTTTAATGGGCCCGGAAGGTCGAAACTGTTGCATAGGCAACCAACCTTAAGAAATTCACCCCAAAGCAAAATCAGCAAGCGGATTTACTATGCCACAAAACAAAATAACATTTGGGAAAATTTAATTTGTTGTTATTAGTGCAGGTAAATTTTCCGATTTATCACAATTGGATTATTTCCATTATTACCAATATTTGAAATTATTTTTTAAATTACCTTGTTTTGTATTTTAAAATAACTACCTACACGCGTTGGTTATTAAAATTTTTACAATTTGGTCAAGTATTATTCAATGTTGCAACGCTGTCTCCAGAACGACTAGCCACATTCACATTTAAAGGTACCGTTTTCCCTTTACCGGTACAGTAACCCCAATATAAGCATGGAGTTGTAAAACATTTTTTATCTTTTACAGTTTCTTTCATCGAATATTCTAAATTTAAATTAGAATAAGTAATTCATTTCGTCTACAATTGAATATGGCCAATTTTGGTACATGTGAAACGCCAGGTTGCGAGGCTTCAGCAAAACTTCAATGTCCCACATGTATAAAAATAGGAATCCAAGGATCATTTTACTGTTCCCAGGAGTGCTTTAAAAGCAACTGGAAGACACATAAAATCATTCATTCACTTGCCAGTAAGTAGCGTAATATAATGCCAATTAAAATGTAATGTGGTCCTTTATACATTTTTTGTTTAGTAATTATTCAGAATTTGCCTAAAAATGTCACACTGACCTTAATCTTACAGAAGGGGAAAATGCAGATTCAAAAAAAGAAAAAGCCTATGATCCGTGGCCATACTACAAGTTTACGGGAAAGTTGCGTCCATTCATGCAGTCACCTTTAAGGACTGTTCCGAATAATATCGGTAGACCAGATTATGCGGACCATCCGAAAGGGTATCCTTTGTCAGAGCAGGCTGTTAAAGGTTCCAGCCAAATTAAAGTATTAGACGATGAAGAAATTGAAGGTTACTTTGCCGTAGACCTTTATTTAGTGATTGATTATCTTTGTTAGGTATGAGAGTGGCATGCAAACTGGGGCGAGAAGTATTAGACGAAGCCGCACGTGTGTGCGATGTTAATGTAACAACCGATGAAATTGATAGAGCGGTGCATGAAGCGTGCATTGAACGTGAATGCTATCCGTCTCCTCTTAACTACTACGAATTTCCAGCCTCTTGCTGCACATCGGTTAATGAGGTTGGTTGTATCGTTAAAGTGCCTGTTAATTAAACTTATTACCGATAGGTTATTTGTCATGGTATTCCTGATACCAGACCACTTAAGGATGGCGATTTGTGTAATGTTGATATCACAGTTTATCATCGAGGTTTTCACGGTGACTTGAATGAGACCTTCTTAGTTGGTAATGTCACAGATGAGCATAAGAATTTAGTAAAGGTCACGCACGAGTGTCTTATGAAAGCTATTGACATTGTTAAACCTGGTGAAAAATACCGTGAAATTGGTAATGTAATTCAGAAGCATGCACAAGCTCACGGATTTTCTGTCGTTAGGAGTTATTGTGGACATGGGATTCATAGGCTATTTCATACAGCTCCAAATGTACCTCATTATGCAAGTAAGATTCACAATGATTTGCTAATAAGTTAATTCAGATGTGTATTTTCGCACTGACATGGGATTTACCCTTTATTTATAATGAAAATGCCACTAATAAATTATTTCCAGAAAATAAAGCCATCGGTGTAGTGAAAGCAGGACATTGCTTCACAATAGAACCAATGATTTCCATGGGCACATGGAGGGACGAGATGTGGCCGGATAAGTGGACTGCAGTGACAGCAGATGGTCAATTCTCAGCTCAGTTTGAACATACTTTATTAGTGAACGATACTGGTTGTGAAATACTTACACGGCGTAGAAATAGTACAGGGTTACCACACTTTTTGGACAAATTTTAGGAAGGGAATTTATAATTTGTGGGGTTTGTGTCGAGTGGTAGCATTAAATACATATGTTTAATTGTAATGCGCAATTTTAATGTGGTTACTAGGTAGTGTGTAAACCTCCTTATTAATTGAATAAAGTGCCTAAAACAGAAATAGCAAATATTAAATTGACATTTTAATAGGTTTAGGTAAAATGAATACTAAATCTCTCTTTAACAGTAAAAATGGTCAAAGTGATGTCTTTAACCGCAAGGGTAGATACAGGGTTAACAAAGGATTGAACATTCTAATGGCATCTGTAATTCTTATTAGAAAGAGGATATGGAGGATGACATAAATTAAAGTTCTGAACAGAACACAATACTGTTTCCATGGCAGAGAGACATAATAGCTTGCTATTTTTGAAGTCTTAACAAATTTAGAATTTTGTAAGGTTTATAATTTATATGGTTTCTGCTGTAAATAGAGTTTTATATTATACATGATGATAAAGGGAAACTAAACCAAACTCGATGGTTATCCCTTTATCGTCTTGTATAATTAATAACTATGAAATAACTTCATAATAAGAAAGCATTGCACGTTTCCCACACAAAATATAGGTTTTTGAAAAAAATACCTAGGCGTTAAACAATCATACTAAAAATATCGGTACACATGGTATCCTTGCACCAAGCCCTTTCAAATGAGCCCCATATTCCCCAAATCAGTCCAGTCGTGAAGAAGTAGTAGTGTGATGGACGACGGACTGACGACAAATTGCATCCACTTTGAGAAAAATTCGTACAAATTAAGGAAATCATTCAGACGAATTTTTGCAAGTAAAAATGGGGCTCTGCGGATTTTCCCTAAGAAAAAATTGTAAGTGGCGTTTCAGAACGGTGGAAATTACTACCCGTGACGCCCGGCGGCATGCATGATGCCTCGAAGGAATAGTAGACCGTTAGAGCGTGGTCCAAATTAGACACTTTCTTTTGGAAAACCCTTTATTTTAAGAGAAAATGGACCTATGTGTCTGGAGCTATCTTTAATCGTTTGGCCATTAGAGGGCGCTTCTGGAAGTTAGTCGATTCTTTAATTAATGCCATGATGAACAAAAGATTTCTTGGTACACTGTACTTATTATTTATTTATATATTATATTACACATTTATTTTATTCACATATATGCTTTTCACGTTCTTTGTTGTTTTGTGGATTTGAAATTAAAAATATTTCGAACAACGCGAGAGAATATAATATTAGCATTATTATATGATGTCTGCAATAAAACGGTAGTGACAATATGGGCACCTGGGCATGTAGGTATCCCCGGTAGTGAAGAGGCGACGAATTCGCACGAAATGGAAGCAACTTAACAAATGTAGATATGATAACCGTTCTATCTGAAGATTTTAAATATAGGATAAAGATTAATATCAATGACTTGTGGCAAACGAAATGGCATTCTGAAAATACCCTATTGAGGCACATTAAACCGTCCATTAAGCCATGGAAACCTAGATTACTTACAAGGCGACAATCTACAGCGCTAACGAGGGCAAGAATAGGCCATACTAACCTTACCCATCTCCATCTTCTAGGGAAGGTAGGAGTAAATGAGTGCGTGCGATGCGGAGTGAATGTGTCGATGTACCATATATTGATTGAGTGCCGCCAGACCCAAAGGCTGAGAAGAGAGTTAAATCTACCTAATAACCTTAAAAGTATATTAGAAGATACAACTGATGCTGTCAATAGATTACTGTTATTTCTAAGTAGAACTGGTATTTTAAGGAAACTATAATTACTACAGAAAACACTTATTAAATAATAGCTAATAGCCAAAGCAGCTGATGCTAAATAGATAAATAAAATAAAAAAAGATATTTGAAACTAATAAACATTTCCAGATAATCAATTGCCCAGAAAGCCTATTTTACAAGTGGAAAAAAAGTTAATAATCATGTCATCAGACGCTAGTAGTGAAAAAACTACTGAATTTGGTTTCAATCACAATCGGCCATGGAATTATTGCCCTAAGAAAATAAAAAAATCGTTAATTAAGGTTAATTTTCTTAGGAAACTCACAGGGAAAAAGATCGAATTTGATTGCTCGATTACCAAAGAACCATACATGTGTATTTTTGGACAAAAAGTGTCAAATTCGTTAAACTTATAGGTATATCGATTTTTTTGGGAAGAAGACATCGTATCTGATATAACACACCTATTATATAAATATATAATTTTTCGTTTCTTAAATAATAAAGTATTCTAAACTATTATTAGTCTTGGCTTATTCTATGAATAGTTCAGTTGCGACGAGGATAGTGCGCTTAGTATAATAAAAAGAATTCTGTGAAATAAGGGAATTTAGAAAATTGTGTAAATGACGGAATATCAGGTGCTCAGAATTTGAATGACTCATTATATTCCATTGCAGGTCCATTGGAAGGTTCTAAGAAAAGTATTTTTATGTTTATTGTAATTTGTTTAATCTCCGTTATTTTTAATGTGAATAATAGTTCCAAGATTAAATGGAAGAACGAACCGCAGTAGCTCTATCGAACTGAACTTTGCCTTATAAAAGTATATTGCTTCATTTTTTTCTCTGTACTTTTTTGGGACAATTAAAGACAATAATGTGGGTTAGAGGTGGAGATACTACCATATGCTGTGTATCATGCGTGTATGTACTATCTTGCGTTATATTTAGGAATTTACTAATAATACGGCATATGTTTATTATGATTATTATTAATCATCTTGGAAACACTACGATAAACCCATTCTTAAAAAGGATTTTAACCTTGAGAACATTTTAAATGGGTCAATTATACACAATAAAAAATGTTTAGAAACTTACGCACACGCCCATTACCTATCAAAATTTAATAAATAATACTCAAATTTGTATTTGTGGTACCATCTGAATATTAAACTGTTGATTTAAAAAAGAGAACTTAATTTATTACGATCCCATTTTCAACTTCCACCATGGACATTAATAATCCTTTGCATCTACATCCCAAAATGATTTCGGCCATCTTTAAATACATACAAAATAAAAAATTGTTTCCCGAGTTACATGCAGAGTGCAATATCTATTGAAAACAACAACACTAATTCACTTTTTATTAGCTTTGTTTATTTATAAACTGGTAGACCTGGGTGTAGTTTGAAATCGTATAATACGTCTAGAGTAAAGTGCCAAACTGTTTTAACAAATTCATTAAAATAAAACAGTTAACTAAAAACTAGTAAATATATGCACATAAAAATATACAGTGACTGTACAGATGTTGAGAAACAACACAAAGCAGGACTAAAATGGTATATTTCATATATTAGCTATTCAATCTCATTCATCAATTTCAAAATAGGTTTTAATATCTTACATATCACCTTACTTTTATTTACCGAATATAAAATAAATCTATCGATTAGTAGGGTTAAATATTAATATTGTTAGAAGGTTGGGGCCTTTTTTTTAAATCGACAACAATCCTGTTCGTTATGCACAGATTATATAAAAGAAAACAAGTTTTGATACAGTTTGCAAAACAAAAATAATACACTAAAAACTAATATTAAAACTACAAAAAAAAATTATTCATATTACAACGTTTAAATATGTAGTATATACACGCATTTAAAACCTTGCCAGTCTGAGCGGCAGGTAACTAATATTCACTTTGACACAAATTGCTACAGTTAAACTGATTTACAATCGAGCATTCTTGATTGTCAATTTGCTAATAAAAGTAATTTTGCTATAAAATAAGACTATACGCGAATATGTTTGAGATTCGTGCAGTAAGTATTGTAGCATTTTCAATTGTATAACGAAATAAATAATTTGGTGTGTATAAAAACATCGGTGCAATAAAGGTCTTCTAAAGACAAAACAGACCAGGCGAACTAACAGCGGTCGAGAAGAATAAATTTTATACTCGAACCATCCTCTCAGAGCAAATTAGAAAATTATTAATGAGAAAATTCACAACAAGCAAACAGTTCTGTTATTTACGTTTAAACCAATGTTTTTAAATAACATTAAATAGTACCACCGGTTGCAGCAATTGAAATTAAAGTTCAATTTATTCATCTCAACCAAAAGGTCTAAAAATTCGACTGGGCCAATAATATTAACAAGTATCAATTCCTATTAATGCTAGTCTTTATAATACTCAGTCTGTTGAGACAATATGTACATTGTCTCTCATTTTTAAAACCGCCCGCTAACTACTAAGTGCATCGTAACACAGGCTAATTTTAAAATTTGAAATACAAATTTAATTACACATTAATCAATTTACATGTTAGTTTGAACTATTAATGGTTTAATAAAAGAAAATAACTACTATACACGCTCTTCAACATGAATACTAATTAACTTTCAGAAACAGAAGACAAACTACTTCGTGTTGATCCAATCCCTAAATGCAAACAGTCTTGGTTGATTTCTGGTAAATCGTGAGGTAATGTTAAAGGCATTATTGGACCGTATAACCTTTCCTGTTCATCCAACTGCTGCGCAAATACCTCTTCCAATTTCTGAAATTGACACAATGAAACGATAATTCATTACTCGTCCTTCAAAAATGTGCTGCAAACCAACCTTTTTTTTCTTAGAATCGAATACAGTAGAGTAAAAGGAATTTTGAAGAAGGTTATAGAGACAGAAGATCAAGACAACACCCAAAACATAATACCAACTCCAATCAAATTTCTACACATTAACGCAAGTGCTCAAATTAAGGAACAGTGCATATCACAGTTACACTAAACCCGTTTCTAAATTCTACGAAATTTAATAAAGATTAATTCTAACGTCGCACTACTTCACACAATAGCTGCCGACAACGGTCAAACGAGAGAATCGTGACTTTGTAAATTAGGAGAGGATGTTAGCAAACGTGACTTGTGGGAAGACACCGTGCTCCAAGATCGTGCATGTCCCCATCGGGCTTTGGCTATTTCGTTAATGGGAGCGATACAGGGAGAGGAAGAGGAGGAAGACTCCGAACGCATTGAACTGCTCGCAAATTTTGCCATTACCGGTTGAAATTGATAGCAGCGACTTTTTCCCAATTCTTGATATAGTACTTCCTCTATTTTCTATAATAAGGCATGCAATGTTAGTAGTTGATAAATATTATTATTAAATTATTTAATTTTTAAAATAAAAAAGCGAGATCTAATAAACAAAGCGAGTTATCCAATAAGTAGTTTTCAATATGTATTGTTTTGAAAAAACTCTAATAAAAATTTATATTAACCCCTAATTTTTGTGCTTAAGCACCTTCAACAACATTCCAAATTAAAAAATAATCCATGTTTGGCTTGGCACTAAATTTTATACTATATTTGTTCCAGAAATCATCAAATGATATGGTTAATGAAGAAATTCCTGATTCAATATTTAGAAGCCATATGAAATCTATAGAGCATTCGCACCTTAGTATGCAGTATGGGGTCTTATGGACTATATCCCTCCTTTACTAATTTGCGTCATTCTTCAATAACGCTATCCTTATTCCTTACCGCAATGATGCCAAACTTACATATGATTGAATTTAAGCTTTAAAACAAAATATAACGTCAAATCTTCTTGTATTGTCATTACGTGTGTGGTTCGTTTTTGTCTTTCGTATTTAACACATTTTATTGTCTCATTGCTTTAAAAATCGTTCTTTTAAGAACGCCTCCATCTCGTACTTTATATACAAGGTAACTTTGAGTGTTCTTGTAGAACCGTTATTTGATTTCATCTTTTTAGAATATCCCATTAAATGGAAGCCGAAGCTGAAGCAGGATCTGCTAACGTGAAACGCCATAAAGGAGAGTGTTTTAGCCGGAAGGAGAAACACCTCATTATCAACGTGCTGAACTATTTCTCGGGAACGATGAACGTTACTGCAGCTGTGAAAGAAGCAAGTAAAGCTTTATGTTGTTCTGAACGGAGCATCTATGCCATTAAAAAGGAAGACGGAAACGAAGGTGTATCAAGCCCGAAAAAACGCAAGCAAAGAAAAGGGAAACAAAGCAATGATCGTCTTCATGTGTATGATGAAAATGTGCAATCAGTTATTCGACGTAAAGTGCATAACTTCTTCATTACAAATATTCCACCAACTATGAACAGCATCTTAGCTTCCGTAAATGACGATAACGATCTACCCAACTTTAAACGCACCACATTATTCAATCTCTTGAAAGATATGGGTTTTGAATTTAAGAAGGTTGGCCGCAAGAGTATCCTTATTGAACGGGATGATATTATACGATGGAGACATAAATACCTACGTCGCATCAGGAAGTTGAGAGAAGAAGGTGCTTAATCTTTTTATTATATTTAATTGCAAATTACATAATATTTATATTTTAGGTAAAAATATTGTGTATACGGATGAGTCATGGGTTAACATTGGTCATTCGGTGAGCAGGGCGTGGCATGACACCACCGTTGAAAGCAATCGTCAGGCATTCATCAAAGGACTCAGTACAGGTTTAAAATCACCCACTGGTCTAGGGCCTCGCTTTGCGTTAGTACATGCTGGTGGTGATAATGGTTTTATTCCGGGCGCGGAACTGACTTTTCTCTGCAAAAAGAACACTGCTGATGCACACAACGAAATGGATGCAGACACTTATGAAAAGTGGTTTTTTGAACAGCTTCTACCAAATGTGCCACCGAATTCAGTCATTGTTATTGACAATGCCTCGTACCACAGTAGAAAGTTGGAGAAGATACCAACAATGTCGTGGAGAAAAGAACACATTATAGATTGGCTTCGTGAGAAAAATGTACCGATTGAAGAAAATCCATTAAAACGAGACCTACTGGCTTCTGTTGCGCATGTTCGGCATCACTACGACAAAAATAAGCTTGATGTTATTGCACAAGAAAAAGGTTACGAGATTCTCCGTTTACCTCCATACCATTGTGAATTAAATCCCATTGAAATGGTGTGGGCTCAAGTTAAACATCATATCAAAATGAATAACAAAACATTTAAAATAAAGGACATGGAAGAATTAATAAAAATGGGTTATTCACAAGTTACGGTTCAAAATTGGCAACATTATGTCAATCACGTGAAAACTATCGAAGATGGCATGTGGGCAGCAGATTATCTTCAAGATGATGTTGAAGAATTTATAATTCAAGTGTCGCAGTCATCTTCCGATGAATTTCAATTCGATTCCAGTGACTAATATGTATACTGTACATTTGTAAATTTTTGGGGACTTAATAAATACAAGCTGTTCTCGGCCACATTTGACAAACAATTACAACTTGTTATTAATTTACCTTTTTGACTTCTGAGGTTAGGTTAAAAAGTAATAAATAGTGTCTAAACTACCGTTTTACGGTGCAGTAATCGATCCTATAATAAGTTTGGCAAGCATGTACTGTTTCTCCATAAGCCCCATACTGCATACTAAGGTGCGAATGGTCTATAGCATGCTGTGTGCCATATCATACAGAAAAGACCTACAATAACTTTGTGTTGTTTTGAAGAATTTACTTTTGCCACAATAGATCTACCCCACGCATCCTGACAGCACAAGGCATGCGAGATTTCAAAAGTTTTCTAAATATTGAATCACAAATTTCTTCATTCTTTTGTATATCAACCATATGCATATTTTATATTGTCACACAGCAAAGTGAAACATTTTTCAAAAACAGGGATTGTATTTGAAAAACAAAAGTTGCATCGGCTTCAGGTTAAACCAGAAGTTTTAATATGCAATTGTGTTGTGTAGTCTTTCATGCTGATGGATATTCTGATGCGATATTTTGAAAAAAATAATTCGTTTCGTAGGTAATTGGAAAAAAGTGAAAATTGACATTTTTAAAAAGTTCAAATATTTTAATGACAGAGATCTATTGAAAAAAGTATCAAATAAAAGTAGCAAGATTTTATGGGAAAAATTCAATGGACGTAGAGACAAATTTTTCAAAATTGCGATTTTCGAGATATTGACATCACTTCCTTATTTTAAATGGACGCGATATTGGACTTTACGTCACTCGATATACAAAAAAAATTACAAAACGAATTATTGCCATAAGAAATACATTGCAAACTTTGAGGCAAAAGTAAGGTAAGGTTGTTTCCCAAATGAAGTACTAAGTATCTTTTTGTCATTGTTTTCTCTATCGAGCGACGTCGATATCTCAAAAACCGTCATTTTGAAAAATTTTTTCTACATCCATCGAATTTATCCCATCAAATCTTGCAACTTTTTTCGATTTTTTTAAAGATAGAGACTTGCGGTTTTCGCGACCTTGTGCCACTTTTTTGTGAAACTTTTAATATCACAAACAGAATCAATCTAGCTGCGTTTGTTTCATACAGGGTGAAAACGAAAAGTTTGACTTTTTGGGATGTTATCATAATATGGTACTACCCATGTAAGAAAGAAAAAAGGTAAAAAGTGATTGTTTTGGATATTTTTACGTAAAATCCAGTGGCATAGTAAAAAAAATGTCCAGTTTTGAGATTTGATCTCCAAAGAGAGTCGTAGTTCCTCCTGCATTGTATACGAAAACGAATGCAAAAAATTTACGTTTAATTTTAATTTAGGGTGTGTCATTTAAAAAATACCAACATTGATGCAAACCTCAGATATGGTAATCCAAAATTACGTAAAAATATCTAAAATAAACCGGTTTTACCTTTTTTATCTTACATGGGTAGTGAGATATAACTTCCCAAAATGTGAAACTTTTCATTTTCAGTCTGTTTCTGTTTAACTGACCTATTTCTGATAAACAGACCTGTTTTCCTCTCGATAAACAGAAGCGAATCGAATGACCTTGAACTTAACGCATGCGCATACCTCAAGGTCAAAGTGATCCCGGATCGGTGCCCCATTTTGGAGGTCCAGGTCTTTATTAGAGATGAAGACAGAGATGCAGGTTCCTATGGAGGAAAGACAAATCGCAGCATTTTTTGAAGTGGCAGATGAAGGTGACAATAACTGGAGCCACCAGTTCATCTTCCGTACTTTATGCACATGAATCAGTTGTTTGTAGTTAGTACAAAACAAGTTATGTCATTTTATTATATTTATATATTACCGTTTTAAAGAATTTTATTTATTCTTGAGCATTCTCTCAGGTGGTCTTTCCAAAGTGTTGACGTCATCGGTGTTAGGACTGCCTCTGACTTTACTGTAAATTTTCCTTTTGTCTTGTGTAAAATTAACAGTATTAAAAAGGTTCCAATCTATTGCCTAACTCAAGCCTTATGTTATTGTGTAAAAGATTGTTACTTAGGAACCAATTAGCAAGAATTTGTTTTACCTAATGTACAAGTGAGTTTCGATTTACTCCTATTTCTTAAGAATTCCCCTGTAAATGGGTTCGAATTTGTTAGTTGTAAAGTGTATTTTTTAGGAAAATCACATATATGGGCATGGGCATTATATGTATTATAGCCCATTCGTTTATTGCATATTAAAAACTACACTAAAGGATAACTGTACGGCTAAAGAAAATTAATCTTATTTACAAAGAATTAACGTCTCAATTTCATTGAATGCTTAAGCTACAAAGTTACAAATTTTTGATACTCACTTGTTTCCTAGGTTTTAACTGTGCCTTCCACTCGCGTAATTCTTTAGCGAACGCCTCCTCTCGCTGTTTTAGTTTAAGCGTCTCATGCTCCATCAGCATCTTTCGCTTTTCATTTTGCAACTGTTCAAGTTCTTTAATGGTTGCGTCACTCATCGCTCGAAGTTCTTCCAACTGGCGCTGATGTTTTAAATCGAAACGTTGCTGTTCGGCTTGGTACCTTTTCTTCTCGTTTTCTTGAAACTAAAATAATCAAGTTAGAAACCTTTCGACTTAGAAGGGAACCAGTACCTCTCTAAATTTATGTTTGTCTGTCTCTGGATCAGAGGTTCCAGATACAGAAATCGTCATGGAAGCCCTAAACATTTGTTCGCGTGCTTTCATTTCAGCCCTAATCCTTTTTGGTAACGACCTCTTCTCTACACTTTGTTTCTTTAACAACTCTTCTTCTTTGCGACTAGCCCTCCTTTTCACTTGCTCCATCTCCTTATCGTGTCGTATCAACATTTGGTGTCGTTGCAAAAAGAAGATGTCCTTCAATTGTCGTTTCACAAGTTGATGTTTTTCGTGTATCTGCTTTTCTTCAATCTCCCACAAGGCGGCCTCCCTTGTTCTCGTTAACTGTTGCTTCTGTTGCAAAAACTGTCTTTCCATTAACGCAATTTTCTCTCTGTGTGAATCACTAAGACGATGTAAAGAGCTTTCGTGGTTATCATTGAGTTGTTCTAAAAACGATTTTTCGCGATCTAAGTGTTCGATATCTAATTTTTCTTTTCGTACTTTAAACTCGTTCTTTCTTAGTTCCTTTGGTAGCCGTTCAATCTCTGCTTTTAACAAACGCAATTCTTGTTTTAACCCTTCCCTAAATTGTTTTAATTCCCGTTCTTGGTCGGCTCGTATTTTCTTAGACAATGTGCGAAGATCTGCGTCATGTTGCGCTTCCGCCTTTTCCACTTGCATTCTTTGTTGACGACTTAATAGTTCCAAATCGCTTTCGTAAGTACGCTCAAGACCTAACCTTTCTTGCTCAAATCGCTTCTCTTGTTGTTCCGTTGCTAGATTTTCCTTCAGATATAAATCTTGAAATTGCTTCTGTTCTTGTTTCTGCAAATATTTCAATTCTCGCAACTCCTGCTTCCTAAATATATGCGGATTGAGAGTGTTGGTGTTGTCTTCATCTCCATATATAACTTTACTAGTCGTTGTTGTTATAACAACACCATCAATCACAAACTTCCTAGTTCGTTTTCGTGTCTTGCGATTTATGTTGTTAAGGTGTGCTTCTTCTTTGGTTCTTACAGCAGGAGCTTTCTTTCTTAAAACCACCACATCATCTTCAAAATCGCCCGACTCTGAGTACTGATCATTTTTATGATCTTTACCACTACTACCCCGACTATCATGACTAGCTAACGAAACACTCTCACCATCAGACTGCTCCATACCTTTTCCAATTATGCCCGAAGATATACGTTTGCGAGAATCGTTGCTACGTACAGAACCGCTCTCACTGTGAGATCGCGACCCCGAGACTACTGACTCGTAGCTATCTGGATACAACTTTCCTGAAACATTTATTAAATAATTAAAACGTTCTCAAATACATTTTGCATATAAATGTGATAGACAGTGGACAATTTTTCATGAACATCAAGGAAGACGCTTATCCCCTGCTATAAATCTCTGCACTCCTCCATTAATCTAATGTGTCAAAACCTTATGGAGCACTCTAATTGACAAGAAAATGGTTTCCGGATTAAGAAGTCGACCCTCTACAAATTCTAAAATCTTGAGGAAGCTAATGAAGAATGATATCGGTATGATTGGATTGGTATAAAAGAAAGTAGATGGTAAGGGTAGAGGGGAGTGAATTGTGGAGATGCAAAATTTTATTTTAGTAAAGATCAAAGAGGAGAAAATGGAGTGGGAATGATACTGAAAAAGAATAGAAGTTTGGGAAATACTGGAGTATTGAAAAGAGTTTGAGAAAGAAGATCAATCATAGATATTAACATTACCAAAAGAAAGAGGAATTGGTTGGGTCACATGTTGAGAACGAGAAGCTGACAAAGGATGTGACAGAAGGGAAAGGAGGGCAAGTAGCAATAAATAGGAGTTCGAATGAAATAGAGGACCTGGGAAGCAGAGAACTGATGATGTACAGGGTGGCCAAATAAGAATGCGAGGTACTGTATCTGGGAACCTGTCCATCGTAGAGGCTTGCGGTAAAAAAATTTATTACCAAAACGGCCACGAGAAAAACCTGGAAAGTATTTTTAAGTTTCTGAAATGGCCGCTAGGAGGCGTAACTGACTTCTGGAATCTAAAAGTGATTTTTCTGTGAATTCCGCTATATTAACCTAACAAAAAAATGTCCGGTCTTTGAAGACGACGATAATCTGAACCTTTTTTGTTTGACAAAGGAAGTGGTGGGGGGTATTCAAAGGTTTCCGTAAAGAACACCCTGTATCTTCGAAACGACTGAGCCGATTTTAACAAACTCGGGTTAATTGAAAAGAGTTATTCTTTGGCTACAAATATTATGCTATTTGAAGTTTTGTTAGTTTCACATATCGCCGCTTGAGGGCTTTTTTTGACATTCCGACAGAAATGGTTAATTTTCTCAAAAAAATTAAATGCGTTGGTTCGACCGGACATTTTTTTGTTAGGTTAATATAGCGAAATTCACAGAAAAATCACTTTTTTAGATTCCAGTAAAGTCACTAAATATAGAAAGTACCGCAATCCATTGGGCTCGTGTGTTAGAGAGAGAATGCATGATTTTTGCCCAAAAATGGCGGAAGTTACCAGATTCTAGTAACTTTAATGTTAGGGATTGTTCCACCTGTTTGGAGATATCTGTATATATTTTTATAAAACATGACAGTACTATGAAGTTAGGTTATAAAAAATGACAGCTATTCAGATTTTATTTGTCAATTTTTTTAAGTTGGCAGGAAATTTGCCCAAAAATGGCGGATGATTGCGGTACTTTCTATATTTAGTGACTTTAGATTCCAGATTGCAGGTACGCCCCCTAGCGGTCATTTCAGAAACGTAAAAATATTTTCCAGGTTTTGCTCGTGGCCATTTTAGTGATAAATTTTTTTACCGCAAGTCTCTACGATCGATAGATTCTCAGATACAGTACCTCGCATTCTTAGTTGGCCACCCTGTACAATGGAACAGTTATGCAATTTGAGTTTTGTTGATGGAAAAATTAAATAACCAGCCCTTAATGATTTCGAATGTTAATGTGTTGCTATATGAAAGTGATAACATAATGAAAAATGTCATGTTGAAAGGAAGACAAGGTAAAATTGACAAATTGACTGCTCCAGAAAAGGGTTTTTAGTACGATGCTTGCCAAATACCATGAATCTATTAATGCTTGGGAGTCAGTACCTAAGAAAAATCGAACGTTGGATTATCTTAGGGAGAGGTTATGTGTGATTGTGCAGCGGCTGAATGCTAGAAGTTCCTCAAATAGTTTTACTGAGTATGCTGCCTATTTTTCCAGTAAAAATTAGCCCAACAAGCAAGGGGGTGCCCACGGCAAGGGCGATGGGAGTGGCGACAAGTCAAAGAAGTTTGTCCCAAAATGTTACAAATGTGGTGAGTTAGGCCATTACAAGCGGGACTGTAAGAATTCCCACGAAGTCCAAGTGTGAGAAGAGTCAGGAAGGTTCTGCATTTGTTAGCTAATCTGATACCATATCTATCTGCGGATTCCTCCAATAGTTGGATTGCAGATTCCGGTGCAACACAGCACATGACCATGAACCGTAATTGGTTTTATACTTTTGAGATGTTTCTCCCAGAAAAATACGATGAAGTCCGAAATAACCAATCAATGAAGGCGGTTGGTAAGGGCATATTCAACATTTCAATGATAGTCAATGGTAAAGCTAAAAAAGGTTACCTTGAGGATGTGCGATTTGTCACGGAACCCCAAGCAGAATGTTTTTAATGTTTCCGCAACAGTGTGCTCAAACTTTCTGCAAGTACTATCAGACATCTGTCGTGTGTCACATGATAGCCTATAAATGCTACCAACTTAATTTTTCCCACTCTAAATAACAAAATGAGAAATTTACAACCTGCAAATAAATAAGATAAATAAATAAGCAGAAATATTGAAGATTTAAATCGTATAGCCAAGGTATCTAAGGAGCATGGTCTACAACTTAATGCAATGAAATCTAAGGCAATACTGTTTGGTCGGCGTAGAGATAGGTTGGCTGCAATTGGTAATATGAACATAGCTGTAGATAATGAAACAATAACCTTTGATGAAAAGGTAAAAAATCTAGGTGTCATTATCGATGCAGATCTACGCTTCAAAGATCACATATCAAAATGCATGCAGCATGGTTATGCGAATTTAAAACTTATTTACCGTAAGAGGCACTTGTTGAACATAAAACAAAAAACAATTCTATGTAATTCTCTGGTACTATCTAAACTAAATTATTGTGACTCAGTCTACAACGCCTGCCTTGATTCAGTCGATGAAAGGAGAATACACAAACTGCAGAATTCATGCTTGAGGCTTATTTTTGGAATAAAAAAGTATGAGCACATTAGTGATAAGTGTTTGTGGTTGGCTTAATACGAAGCAAAGGCGTTTCTTGCATACGGCTGCACTGTATCACAGCATCATAGTTACCAAGTAACCAAAGTATCTATATCGGAAAATCTTCTTCAGAACTGATGTACATAACCTCAATTTAAGGTTTAAAGGACTACTAACGCCACCAGTGCATAGAACGCAATCGCAAGATCGTTTTCATATAGCCTCACAAAGGTCTATAATAATCTTCCTGCAAACCTTAAGTTGCTATCGCTTAAATCATTCAAGCTTAAGTTGCGCAAATTGCTGCTCGAACATCAAATCAAAATTTAACATACCTAGTCATTTCATCGCGGTTTTATTGGAAGGTTCTAAGGAAAGTATTTTTTTAATTTTTATTTTATTTTTTATATTGTAGTTTGTTTAATTTCTTAATGTAAATAACAGTCGGAATAGTTTCAAGGTTAAGTGGAAGAACAGACGGCGGTAGTCTCCGCCGAACTGAACTTCGCCATGTAGAAGTATATTTTATTTCTGTTTTGTTTTTGGGGATAAATAACGGCACTATTATTATTATTATTATTGAAAATAAAAACTTGTTTATTAAGGACGCTTCCAATGAAGATGTTCATCAATGCACAGAAAAGGCATTACTGATCGGCAGGGTGGGATGTTATCTTATCTTTCTACTATTCTATCCATGTAGGCTGGTCAATCTAGGCAGGTTTATACAAGTGAGGTAGAAAAAAATAGTAACAAAGTGATCTCTGCGGAAATGAGTACTCAATAGGGTCCTTATTAACCCCTAAAAAATCGCACTTTGTCGCATTGGTGGAACTTGGAAAAAAATGGCCGCCATCTTGATTTTTTTCGAATTTATTAAATATTTCGTAAAGTATACATTATATCAAAAAAACTCAAGAGACTTTTTTATGGAGAATCAAAAGTTACCTGTATCTATTGATCAAAAAACAAAAAAGTTATTGAAATTTATATGATTTGGGTAATTATCACATCTGTGTCGAGACTTAGATGTATTTCAAGAACTCAATGCAGATATAGCAGTTTTAATTAAAGCAGGACTTAAAATTATTTTAAATCTGTACCGGTGTCCAAAGAAGATTCATGATATTAACCAGTTACGTCACACACTATACAGGGTGGTGACTTGCGTAACGCATCATAGGGATTTCAATGTAAAATTCATAACATGCGATTATTGGCTCCCCAAATTATTTTAGAGCAAACATGTATTAAGGTTTTTTGTAGGAAAAATTTTTTTACGGCAATCAACCGTATTAGTTTTCAATTTTTTGCATAATAAAGACGGAAAATTGGAAAATTAAAACCCCCATCTTTTTCAATAATCTGTGATGCCATGGAGTTTTATAATAGAAAAACTACGCCAATATCCGTAATGCCATGGAATGTCTGCTATAAAACACATCAAATTCTATCAAAAAGTATTATATTTAGAACAGCGAATTCAAACGCTTTCCTAATATAATAATTTACAATAAATGTTCGAATAAGTCACCATTAACTGCAAGACAGTAACCAAGTCGATCATAAAATCCATTTCGATCTGCTGCTAATTGATAACTGGATATCTTTTTGTTTTAGAAAATTCCATGGCATCGCAGATTATGGTTTTTATTTTTCCAATTTTCCGTCTTTATATGAAAAAAATTGAAAACTAATACGGTTGATTGGCGTAAAAAAATGTTTTCTACAAAAAAGCTTAATACATTTTTGCTCTAAAATAATTTGGGGAGCCAATAATCGCATGTTATGAATTTTACATTTAAATCCGTATGATTTCTTTCCTTTTTTTTATTGATGTATTGCTCCATGTGAATTATTTGGATATATTTAATGTATCAGGTAAGTAGAGGAAACCAAATAATTGAATGTTTTTATTTTCTTTAGATTATCGATTTCGAAGCTCTAGTGAGATCTCTAGTGAGTCTCTAGTGAGCCGATAACCTAAAGAAAATAAAAACACTCAATTATTTGCCTCCCTCTACTTACCTGCTAAATTAAATCATAAATCTTCTTTGGACACCGGTACAGATTTAAAATAATTTTAAGTCCTGATTTAATTAAAACTGATCTGCATTAAGTTCTTGAAATACATCTAAGTCTCGACACAGATGTGATAATTACCCAAATCATATAAATTTCAATAACTTTTTTGTTTTTTGATCAATAGACTTAAACTTTTTTTTTATTATAGGTAACTTTTGATTCTCCATAAAAAAAGTCTCTTGAGTTTTTTTGATATAATGTATACTTTACGAAATATTTAATAAATTCGAAAAAAATCAAGATGGCGGTCATTTTTTTCCAAGTTCCACCAATGCAACAAAGTGCGATTTTTGAGGAGTTAATAAGGACCCTATTGGGTACTCATTTCCGCAGAGATCACTTTGTTACTAATTTTTTCTACCTTAACCACCTATTTTGACTAGCCTAATGTAAAATAGAGAAAAGGTAAAAACTACCTATTGTAGATATTTTTACAAAGACCAGTGTCGTAGTTAAAAAATGTTTGGATCACAGTTTCTGAGATTTGACTCAATGTTTATATTTTTTAAACGCGACACCCTGTATACTAACGTCAATTGTTTTTCATTTTTTTTCCCGACTCCATTATTATCAGAACCTATATTTTTTAATTTTAGCCACGAAAACTATTTTTTTACTGTTTTAAATAGTAGGTCATGGATTCATAGAAATTTTGTTTTGTTTATTGTATCCATGGCAATTAAGGCAGCTGATATACAGGTCCATCAATGTAAACAGGAACAAGAATCCAAAAAATTAACGTTAAAATATACAGGGTGTCTACACAACAATATCTAAAATAGCCCGTTTTTACCTTTTTTCAATCTTCAATGAGTAGTAAATATGATAACTTCCCAAGAAATTGGAATCAAGATCAAAGCTGTTGACACCAGGATCAACTTGACAATTCACCATACTAAGGAATGAAGACTCATTCGAGAAAAATGAAGGAAAACAGTGAAAACTCCGAGACAGATCCTAATTAAAGAGCTGAGAAAGTTGAAGGACTATGCATTAAGTGGAACCTTGGAATGCGACACCATGATAGCTTATCAAACTGAACAGTGTATGTCGAGGTCTATGTGCATCAAAGCCCATGAAAGTTCCCAAGCCAAAAATTGGAAAATGACAATGCTTGAGAAGGTAAATGTGCTCAATGAACATCACACTTGGGACCTAGTTCTTAGGCCGGCTGAAAAGAAGGTGATTGACTGTCGGTGGGTGTACAAGGCCAAATGCAATGCTGATTGTTCAGTGGAGCGTTACTAGACGAGTCTTGTAGCCGAGCTATTTCTAACAGGAAAGTATTGGTTTCACTTAAACCTTCAGGCCTACCAAGAGATGGGACTCGGCGCTTTCTCTGATGAGCGTGTGTGGACTCAAAATGATTGAATTTAACGTCAAACATGCTGTCCTTTATGGAGAGTTAATTTTGAAGTTTTTATGAACCTACCAGAAGGTTACGATGATGGAACTGACAGGGTATGTCAATTGAGAAAAAGCATTTATGGACTACACCAAGCTCCTAGCAGCTAGATACTGGAATTAAGACGTTCATTCATTTTTTGAGTAAATGTGACCTCACCCAAAGTGAAAATGAGTCTCTTTGTGAACTTCAAGACAACATTGATGACACTTCATAAGGGAGTGCCTTAGTTTTGAGTGGGCGGGGTTTCAGACAAGGCTGCTCTACCAACCCAACCCACTATACATTTACAAATATCCAGGTACAAGTCACTGATGCAAAATTTTACCTAGGATTGAAAATTGAAAGGTTGGGCGATTGCCAATTTTTAATTCCCGCTCACACACTCAAGAGAGAGCAAGATTTGCTGTAGGGGAAGCTATCTGGATCACAAGAATTCTCAATGAAATGAACTGCAAATGTATTCCTGTGTGCAGACAGAAATATTAATTTTAATTAAGGGTAGTCTTGACTTAATTTTTTTAAGCAACCCATTTGCAATGTGTTCGTTTGATAAAAAATGTATTTCACTCAGTAAACAGATGAGCGAAGGTGGATCTTATGTGGGATCTTGTACTATAAAGCTAAGCGTTCACTGAAACAGAGCGGACGCGCCGAAGAAAATTTATTTTGAAACATTGTATGACGATGCGTTCACTTGGACGTAACGTGCACTTACAAAGTGCAAGGTATTTTATGGCGCGTCCGTTGCGTGCGCTCCGCCTCAGTGAACGCATACCTTAACAGACCATTATCGAAGGCCTTTCTAATATCAAAAGCATGTGCTTTTTGCCATTTTCATAACAATGACAAAAAACAAATTTTTGCCAAGATACCTACCATTGTAATTTTTCTTAGATATATCATCTTGACTGGAAGCATAAATTATTTGGCCGTTAAGTTTATACTTGGGTTCAGTGTTTATAACAGTTCCATCTAACACAATCGAAGTCCCTCTCAACTCATCACTACACTCACTTTTTCCACTTCCACTCTTAGCCGACGATAAATCGCTATTTGACTCTCGTAAGTTTTCGCCGCCTCCGCCTTTATCATACATAAATGAAGCGGAATCCTTCACTTGCACCTTCTCCTCATCTATCTTGACGACCGAAACGTGGCTAGTGTCGAGAAGATGGGAACCGTCCTCCGATACGTCCAATCCCGAATCGTTTATTACGTAACTCGAGTCGGCAATAAACACTTCACTATCGTCTAATTTTTTAGCGTTTACTGGTTTGTCCCTGAATTCGGTCGGTGGTGGAAATTCCAGAGAGTCCAGTGACGGACAGCATTCTTCGTCCGTAGACGACTCGTTCAAGTGAGTTTTATTAGTTTCGTTTGCCACAATCACAACTTCATTAACACTATTGGTTGCCATCGAACTCGATGATCGAGATGAGTTACAACTGTTATCCACCAAAACAGGTGGGTGGGTGGTAACCACGGTCACTTGACTAATATTCGTTGCTAAACTATTTGAAGGATCAGGCATCTCTGTGATAATTGTAACAGTTGATGTATTTAATTTACTACGATCCATTTGAGGGGTTGAAACAGTAACTAAATTTTCTACATTGTTCACCGAAACACCTTCATTAATAATGTTTTCGTTGGATTTCGACTCGAAATGTTTACTTTGGAGAACAGGAGCAGGTATACGATTAACCATTGCTGCAGAACCGTCAACCACATTTTTCTCTGCGGTTTTAAGGTCCTCTTTCTTAGGCACTTCAATATCTACACTAGGGGGCAAGACAGGTGCTTGTGGAAGTGGGGGTGTGCTAGGAGGTGTAAGAGGTGAAGAAGGTGGCGTTGGAAGAATCGGTAGAGGTACCGGAAGTGGAGAAATGGTAGGTTTATCCGTATCTGTCTTTTTAGTTTCTAATAAACTTGGCTGAAGCACATTTGCTGGAAGTGGAGGAGGAGGAGGTGCAGGGCCTTTGTCCCTTGACGATTTGCGCTGTACCTCTTCCTTTTTATCTGCCTATAAGAATAAAAGACAGCTTTAAATAATGGACCATAGGTAAAAATCGTGTGATGTCACTCTATTACATAGCTTGTGGTATTAGATAATATTATCAAAAAACCATAATGAAATCACCAAGCTTAATTTAAATAACCTTGATTCATATCTTACCGTTATTATTTCGCCTTTATTTCCGAATGAGTCTTTTTTCAATTTTTTACGATCAATGTCTTCGGCGTCATTTTCTCTTTTTCCGGTTTCTGCTTCGCCTGCTATTTCGAAAATCACTCGGTCATTATTAACACCACGCAATCACCATACTTACGTTTATTGTCAACCTCTGTACTTTTTACAGATGACGAGTCATCTTCTATATCCAGTGGAACTTGTGATGTTCGATTGTCCTACAAATTAAAATTTTTCACACTCTGCGCAAATGCTAATTTTGAAAGTTGGGAATTGAGACAAGTAAGAAGCAAAGCGACGATCTCTTACCTGATCTGGCATGCGAGGCTGTGGGGAACCCGGGAAGCCGCATGCATAACAAACAGGTCGTGATAACAGATAATTTAAAGTACAAAACAACTACAAAATATTTGCAGATATTTCCGGTCCAAAGAGATAATTGGATTTAACAATGAAAATCTGCTCAATATCAAAATCACAAATTCCTACTTACCAATTCTTTGATAGAAACCTTTATTTTTACGTTGTTTTCTACCTCGCTATGCATGAAAAAGCATTTACATAAGCGTTGAAAATAGAATTGATAGTGTTATTGAAGACGTGTAAAGATAAAAGTTAACACCCACCTCTGGATCATCATCAGTTAGTTCCTCTTCCACAACTTCGGCCTTGTACTCCAATAATAGGTCCCTAATGGACTTTGAATCCAAAGTGCAATTAATAAACGGATGCTTCAGCAAATCTTCACAAGTTGGCCTTTTCTGAGGATCTTTTATTAAAGCTTTCGCAATAAAGTCAACAAAGTCCTTTGTCCATTTGGAGGGTTGTTCTAGCATTGGCGGATCAGATTTTTGAATCTTGAGTAATACTCTCATTGGAGACATTTCGTGATTGGGAGGCTCCATTTGAGCAAATTCGATTAGTGTAATTCCCATTGACCAAATGTCTACTTTATAATCGTACGGATTATCACGGAATGTCTCGCATAAAACTACTTCAGGCGCCATCCAATATGGGGTACCAATGAATGTGTCGTGCTTTTGAAGGGTAGATTTATTTTTTGCAGAAACACCAAAGTCCGCTGAAAAGAGTACAGTATGTTAAAAATGTACTATTCAATAAACTGAGCCTATCCCTACAATACAATGGAATTCTTGTACAATTACTTTATTACAATGTAATGTATCAGTTGTTTTAAACTATGTAAACCTTTGTAATTTCTTAAAAAAATGTTTAAACACTATTCCATTTATTTTTTAAAAATAAATCACATACTATAGGACAACCAATCAAAAAAATTAACCACCTACCATAGCATGCACTATTTCAGATTACGGAATGAAGTAGAGGACAAAAAAAGTAATGCATTTGAATGCATCGCCATCATAGCCTTGTTGATTTCGGAAGATCTAGTTACCCGTGAATGTCTTGTTGAGAAATGAATGTAAAACTTTTGATTTTGAAATGTTTCTTGTAAATTTATGTAAAAGTATATACTGCATTCAGTATAACAAGGTAGTAGCTGTTTGAAGATCAACACACACAGGAAAAATATAAATTGGCACCAAATTATTGTAAAGTACAAATATTCAGCACAGCGAACAGAAATAAATCTTTGACAATAACAGCTAATGACACTTCGGCCGTTTAGTCGGCAACATAAACTACCACCTTACAAAATTCATCAGTCGATTTTTGTTTCATTGTAATACTGACTCATGTTTTAACCAATCACAGTGAAGGTCAAAGCTTCCCTATGCTTTCTACCGCTACCTTCTTAAAATGAATACAGTATAGAGTGTGACACGTCATTAGTTTTCTTTTTTTGTCCTCTATCTCATTTCGAAAAAATCCAATATGGCGCCCGTAAGAAATAAAAAAGTACCCTGTAATTTCTACATCTAATGAGTTTTGGAAATATTGATAACAAGTTCAGATTCTCCTAAAGAAAAACTGCTAATGGGAACCGTCTATTTCCGACCGTTTAAGGTAGGGAAAATGAAAATGAAATATATTTTCAGATTTTGGGTGATATCACAGTTATTTCCAAAGATTTTTCAAAAATTTGCCCAACCCGTTATGGAGATCCGAATGATGAGCCACAAATTTGAACCTACAAAGAACCTACCAAAGAACGCTAATATGCTAGAATGGTCAGTTCATCTGTTTCTTTATCTATCTCTGTGAGTTTTGATCATTCAAATCTGGTTTTCACAATAGTGGCAGGAAACTCAAAATAAAATTTTGGAATGAACCAAAGCCTAAAAACCACTGTAAATTGTACTTTTTTACCAACTTTGCAATTTAGTAGCTAATTTTCCCAAAAAAATTGGGTGAATAAGTAACTATTGCAAACATTTGTTCACTGCCTGCCTCTTACTAAACAACTTCTTTGCTAAAAACCGTCATCGAACTGAAATTTGGGTAAAAGAATCCCTATAGTTACTAACAAGTTGTTGGGAAAATTTAATTACATTTTTTACACAAAATCTAGTGCGAGATTCTTCTTTGCACTTCTGACTGTGGCGGTAGAAATGAAGGTTTATGGAAGGAGTAATCATGCATAAAACGTTTTCAGGCCATCCACCACAAAAACAGCCTATTTATTTTTTGCTTATATCTCCCACTTCTGTAAGCTGTTACGCAATTGGTTCTTGGATACAGAATTTTTCTAAAGTGATACCACCCACATTCAAAAAAGACTACATTAAAGAATTAATGAACAGTACGAGAACTGAAATTAGTTTATGCTTCAAACTACTCGTCAAGCTATCACCACTACATAAGTACACTGTATTGTATTCGAGATAAGGAGGGCCTAGATATAATAAGAGATATAAATTTGGTTAAATGGGAGAAAAGAGGTCCTCGCAAAGGTCAAAGAAGCGTTTAGAAATCCTTGTTTTTGGTTTTTGAAATATTTTGAAAATTCTTTTTTGGCGTTTATATTTGACCTAGAGTATAACCAATGACACTTCTCCCCAACAATTTTTAATGCTATTTAAGATGCCGTTCATCAACTTTCTCAAAATTACTGCTAGATGAATGTCCTACTACAGTTTCACTTTATGGGGATCTTTTGTGTGCTAATTTCAGATTTTTATTTGATCCTCTAACAGAGATATTGACGGTCAAAAATGGAAACAAGTTGAAAAGTAATCGTAAACGATTTACATAAAGCGCATTTCCACTTGCATTTATTTCCCATTATTGTAAGATGCAACTTCTATTAAAATCATAAAAATCCGGCCACAAATATGAAAGATAGCGTTGCACATGGGCAATCCATTTTTGACGTGCTACTTCAATTTCAGTTTATGAGAAGAATTTCAATTCAATGCTTTTCTAAATAAGAAAGTTGGAACTGCGCATGCGCAAACCTAAATTTTGAAACTAATGTTAGATTTTCCTTTGTTCCAAGCGCCTAAGTATCAAATTTCAGTTAAATGATTCCATAGATAAAAAAAGTTGGCACTGCGCATGCGCAAAACCAAATTTTGAAACTGGCGTTTGATTTCCTTTATTCCACGTGCCTATGTATCAAATTTCGTTTAAATTCTTCCATAAATAAAAAAGTTGGCACTGCGCATGCGCAAAACCAAATTTTGAAATTGGTGTTTGATTTTCCTTTATTTCAAGTGCCTATGTATCAAATTTCATTCAAATACTTTTATAAGTAAAAAAGTTTGCAATTCGGTTTATAAATGGTCGAGATGCGAAAAGGGCACTGTGAATTTTGAATCGATTCGATTCCGCTTTTGGCATTGCGTATTATATGGCTAAAGCTATGCCCATATTGAATTTAATGCAATTCAGTTCATAACTAACGGAGATGTAAAAGCGATCGAACATTTCTAAACAAACTTATCGTTCACACGGACAGATAGATGGACAGACAGACAAAGGAACAGACGGACAGACCAAAGGCAGACGACAGATAGCAATGCAAAATTATAAACGATCTCTAGGATCGTTAATAAACGGCAAAAGTGTAAAATTATGGAACATGTGAAAAACGGTTTTTTGTTTTTTTTTACAATAACTTTTTTTGTAAGCGGTACAGAAAAAATTCCTTCCTTGGTACAAGACTCGGCACCATAACGAACCAAATAGCGAAAAAAGTAGAACAATAGCTCTTAAGATAAAGAACTAGTAGCGTCGCAAAACGAGCGGACGGACGGACGGACAGCCGGACGGACGGACAAAGTGGCCACAATAGCGCATTTTTTTTATTTTTGTGGAAATGCGCTAAAAATAAAAAATGTAATTTTTAAAAAGCTGTAACTTTTAAAGGGTAAGAAATCTCTGCACTAATATTTGATATAAAGTAGCAATACAATGTAGTTTACCCAAAAGATAAGGGCTGAGAGATTGTTCCTTCTTACGATAATCACTCTTTGAAAATTTAATTTTGTTAATTTTCGTCCAATCACTTTGAACTGTTAATAAATAATCAAATAAATAAACTAATAAAAGCATGTAGCTAGGTAATTATGCGTTTAATTTGTACGTTGGTGGTCCAAATTTGACACTTTCTTATGGAACACTCTTTATTTAAAGACAGAAAAAAAATAGACCTAGATATCTGGAGCTCACTTTGAGAGAAAAATCACTAGCGCAAACAGCTATCTCTAATCGTTTGGCCACTATGGGACGTTTCGATTTCTTTAATGCCCCATAACTTTCTCCTTATTAAGGATAACTGATTTTGGCAAAATCTTTGTTAAGTACATACCTCTTGATTGGAATCCATTCCGATACTCAGTTTTTATACAGAGTGTTTGGTTTTTTATACGACCCCATAATATATAATTATCATATTATTTTACTACGCAATCAGGAATACACTTGCAACAAATAATTAATTTATGGCACTTGTTTACTGTCTGGCATTCTTTGGTTTTTTATTATCACGGTCTACTCTTGTTTATAAACATGTAATTAATTAATGGGTAACTATTTTTGTGAAAAATATTAAAAACTACTGCGGGGTTTAGGCACAGACACCCCTTATAAAAATTGAAGAGCACTCAACATGCTATTGAATAGAGAAATAAAATAATGGTAGTTCCATTTGAAAAAAAATAGTTATGGCACTTTGAAATATGGAAATTTTACTATTTTTTTGTGAACACCCTGTATCACTAAATTCAACTTACTCATTGTTCAAATTCACATTACTGACCAAATGTATTTCTTAACTTTAAAATCAAGGTCGGTACGATTTGTCAAAGTGGCTTAAAGAAAATTATTCAGAAAAAAACTAATAATTTGGCAACATTGATAAAAAACCAAACAGTGAATAGGTTTCCATGCAGAGGTTTAAAAATGACATTGAATCACCTAAAAATACACAGGGTGCTCGATTTAAAACAAAATCAGCTGTGTATTGACACTGTAAAAATGGGACACCCTGTACATTCAAAAATAATTTCTGTAGATGCGCAACCATCTATAGTTAAGATAAAAACTCTTTTCTAAATTTAACCAAGTCGTATCTTCTATTCTATGGTTGGACATCCTTATCTTTGGACAAAGTGTATATAGGGTGTAGTACCAAAGAAGAATGATTTATATCGAGAAGTTTTTTTGTAAAATTTCTTCAAAAACACTTTGATAAATGTAAATTGCTCAGATGAGGTTGTCAACAAGATATTTATTTTTGTATGGTCCACTTAACCCATTTTCATTAAGAATACAATATTTCTTTACCTGCACGAGGAGAGATTTTCCAAATTAACTATTCCTCAAACGCCTTCATCTTGCTAGAAACTTTTTCGGTTCGTTTAATAAAAGAAATAACATGGGAACACAATAAAATTACCTGGGAACACTTGAAGATACAATGTAAATACCTAGGAATACTTATAAAAATCTCGGTATATCCCAAAAATCTCTAAATTTACATATTCCCAAATATGGAAAACACTGGACATTTTTTCCTTAGGTGGTTGCCCCTCGGGTTATACACAATGCAGTATTGAGATAAAAATTTGCTGTCAGAATTGGTAATTCTTCTACTTTGAATGATGATGATGATACTATCGCCTGTTGTTTTAAAAAATAGCAAACAGATTGGGGCTTTATGATAATTCTAATTATCTATCCCGGTTGATAGATTTGGCTATGATCACATTAATTAACACAGTTGTTTCCATGGTAATTGCTGCAAGCTTGACTATTCCAGTTGAATAATGCTAAATCTCTTTTGTCCATAATGGGGATTTACGATAATTCCACCGGTTTAACCGGGTTGGTAGAAATCACCATAGAAACAATTGTCTCAATAATTGTAACCATAGCAAAATTTACCAACCCGGTTAAACCGGTTGAATTATCGTAAATCCCCAATGTAATTGCTACCTTTTGATAATAAGTTCATACACAAAATCTGCTTCTCACTCACATCAAATATAAATAAATTAGATCAATTTTATTTACTTAATACAATTATAAACACAATAAAAGTAGGTAGTACTCACCTAGTTTAACACCACCTGCCATCGTTAGTAAAACATTGCCCGCCTTTAGATCTCGATGAATAATATGGGTTTTATGTAAAAACTGAAGACCCCTGCACATATTTTGGCACACGTACGCAATCTGCAGCTCATTTAGAGGTTTCTCCAGTTCGGTCATAATACTATCGACCGCACCTCCGTCGCAATATTCGATAAGCATCCACAATTGCTGCTCCCTTTGAAAGGCTTCAATTAATTCGACTACGTTCGGATGCTTACACTCCGACAGAATATCAATTTCTATCATAAAATCTGATAAGTCCTCTTCTCCGTCCAGTCTACACATTTTAGCAGCGGCAAGCTGCCCGTTATGTTTATGCTGTGCCTTATAAACTTTCCCATAAGCACCGTCGCCGAGCTCGCCGAGTAAGTCCCAGAACTCTTCGGGATCGCACTCCATCCGCACATTATTGAAAACCTTTTTCTTTTTGGCATCGTTGCCACCGAAGTGAAGCACCTTCTTAATATTATTAAAAAACGACATGTCGACACTGGTTTTCCTTTTATGCAATAAACCACATGACGGTTAATTGAAATATTTGTGCTTTATTTCTACATGGTTAGTCTACAACAAAAATGACATCATCTTCACTTAAAAATACAGGTATTTGAAATAATTATGGTATTTGAGTAGAAAATCAGCCAGATTAAGTAAACATATCAGGTTCAAAACCACTTTTATTATAGAAATTGAAATTATTAGGCATATTCATACACATTAAAAAATGCATACCTACACGTTTAAAGAAAGTAAGAAAATAAGTTTTATTATTTTCATTTGCAATGGTTAGTGAAAGGAGTACAGCTGATGTTCTACCGATTTAGAATTAATAATCGAAATACCTACGTTCGTTCACTTCTAACTCTTACGGTCTGCGATATTTACACTATCAATTAGAAACAAATTAACGAACGTAACTGTTAATAATCACATTTTGTGCAAGTTTAACTTTCGTCAAATAAGATCAGCCATGCCAATTTTCTTACAATCCCCGACCCCCTTCGATACTCCCAACGACACGCCTGAAAATGACATCATAAAGCGCATGCCATTTCTACTACAAAATTTCTTTTTTAAATTCATTTTCATTTTCCCTCATTTCTATTAATTAGTCTTTAATGAGAATGATTGATAATGATTTTTAATAATCAAAGCGAAGTAATTGCAAATATCCCAACCAACGGATGCACTTTTATGATATTCATTTGCCTAAATTTTCAGATCCAGAATCAAACATCGTCTGGAGTACCGTTTTATAATTGTATTATTTAATTTATTTACAAATTATTAACATCTATAATAGACACAGGAAGAGGAAAAGAGACTAGAGACTACAATAATTTTCACTTCAAGAGTTTCCGTCAGTCAGTGGCGTAACTACTCGTAACTAAAAGAGGGTTAAATTAAAGTTGTTATAGCACTTCGTGAACTAAATCAAGGTGCCTTACCTTCCATTTAGGGGCAAGGTTGTTTTATTAGAAAGGTTGTTTGGTAACTCTAAACCAATAGAATGCTTGCATTTTGAAGGCGGGAAAACGTCATCCAGAATTCACATTTAAAATTGCTCATTTGCAGTATATTTTTGGATATATATGGGTATATGTATATAAGGGTGGATCTTATAATGGAAATCTTGGAAGTTTATCGACCTCCACCTTTGAAAGCAATCAAAGTATTGAAAAAATGAGTCTTGTGCGTAAGCTATTTTAGATATGCACGAGGACTTGTGAAAATGTAATCAAATTAATCTTAGAGGTGGAAATGGATAAAATTCCGCGATCTACAAAATAGGAACCACCCCTATGTATTAGTACCTAGGCTTTGGGAATTAAAACTAAACATTCTTTAGCGGATGACGCCAAATAAAATGGTTTTGCGTTTTATGGAATATGGAATATTTATAGTAGTATGTACAAAATGGTAACCGAGGTGCACACGGCGAGCTCTGTCGTTGGGATGAGCCCAGATGCAGGTCTTCTGATTGATGGAGTGTGGCACGAGGTCGAGCTGGCAAGGCGACCTGGTTCTGCAGGTGGAAAGCTTTTTGTTTCTTGAAGTGCAGTCGAAGCAGAAATTGAGTTGCACTTTGCAGAGTTCGTGGCTCTGCTTTTAAACGTTTGCGGCCAGGGACGCTAAGCTTTCATCCGTTGGCCGTATTGACCAATGGGAGCCCAGCACATTAAAATTCACAAACTAAGTGTCTTTATATTGCACCAAACAGGTATCTACAGCCAATATATGTCCTTATGCACTTCAAAATTCAACAAATTTTAAACAAATAAACTATAACTCAAGAAAAATAAGCACCCGCGCGACTACAAACAACGTTGAACGTCAATGTCTGAATTCTCGATGACGTATACATTCCGTCCCTCCCGCTTCTGCTCACATAGTTATCAGGTAACCTTTGAAATAAAATAACCTTGATTTAGGGGACTATAAATAGTGTTTTTTTTTTAATCCGGGAGAAATTAAACGGCACCGACGGAGCAAAAGTGACAGTCCATATGAGTCCACGCAATTATATGAAATTTCAAGCGCAATTTACTAATATAATATATTAATGTACCGTGGTCCGTTTGCATGACTTCACACCAACAAAAAGCAAGTAGCATCTTATAGAGGGCAAAAAGTGGCCCACACTGTATATAAATATTGGTCTTTGCTTCAAAAATTACTTAACCTCACTTCCTCAGCTGATAACGTTGACAGACTGTGGTGACAGTAGAGTAGCATAAATAAACCATTTCGTCTGTCACAGAAGATAGTATTTACTTCTGTTTAAATTTACAATTAAATTAAGACTATAGTAGGTATGTGATAATGGAATGCGCATAAAATATACATAACATATTATTTAATTGTCAAGTGTTTTTAACTCCGAAAACTATGTCTCAACCACCAACCAGAAGTCTGATTGCAAACATTTTTCGCAATTTCATAAACTCTCTAAAGCCTCGACAAATTAGGGGTACATTTATGGGTTCCGATTACTTTGGTAACAAGTATTATGAAATACCTCCAAACCCGTCGATCGGTAAACGGAAAGCATCTCGATGGTTTGTGCCGCCAAACAAGGAGGATTTCGATCAAGAAATGACAGCCGAGTGGGAAGCCTGGTTGAGGTTTAGAAGGACGGAGGCTCCGACCGAAGAAGAATTAGTTAGAAATTTATCCATAATGGAGATGAAAAAGAAAAATGCTCTTGAAGTAGAAAAGAAAGCCGGAAAACCTACACCGTTGTTGAAAGGAATGGAAACATTTCCCAAACGTGAAGAGTATGAAGTACTTCCCGGGAAACCACAGCAAAAACCTGATTAGTCCTCTAATAATAGTTGTAAACATTATTTGTAAATAAAGTATAGATGCTTTTTTTGCTAAATTCTTATCATGTCACCCACAAAAGGAAAGTTTTGATACACAAAGAATGAAATTACCACTACAGAGTGGAGTAGTGGACGGTAAAGCAATTGCTTTTGTATTTCTATTTATAAAAAGCTGACCAGAGCCACCATACGTTTTATTAGAACAAAATCCGAAGGGGGCATTCAGTCAGATTAAAGAAACCGCACTCAAAAATTCGAATCCAGATTTGAAACTATAAAAATACAGGAAACACCTTTGTTTTGAGGGGATTTGCTTAAAAATGAGGATGAGAAGGCGAGGTTGGAGCATGATACAAGTAGGAATATGGTAGTGAAGGGAGGTTGTACCTCTCTTAGTATGCTCCATCAGCAGTGACCCCTCCACCAGGAGTGACTGTTAGATAGTGATGCTATCAATGACTCAGTCCACTGCAACAATAAGTGGTCAAAGAAATCAAGTGATCCAGACTGCTTCATAAAGCTTAAGCTTTGAAGAAGATACATTTTTTCTATCTTTGTCCTACAGGAACATGAGTAGCTAAAAAAGCCTTTATAGCAAGAATGCAGGAGGGAAAGTAGGCTTCGGTAGTTTCATACATTTTTGTAACGTTTCTTACGCATTTTATTACAGTATATTCTCTACCTAATTATAATTATTGTACTGCTTAAAGGTATAATTACAAATGAAATAAATAGTACATTAAATCAAAAACCAACACGTAATTTTTAATTTATATAAAATACATCTTGGCAGTAGCTTTCCGATAAACAAATTCAACTATGTATATTAAAAATATGTATGCGTATTAAATACAAAACAATGATATACTAAGTAGATTTATGTACAATAGTCTAATTAATGTTGCAAACAGATGTCTTAAAATATTCACTTTAAGTGGAAGATTAGAGAAACATGCGAAAATAAAACGCTGTAAAAAAAACATGAATGAAAAACTAATGAAAAGCGCTGTCAAAATACTCATTGTCATTTGGTTAATTAAAAAAAAACCATTTATCTGCAACAGCCTCGAGCAGTAAAAAAATTTTAAAACATCAGTAACAAATTAACCAGATAAATCGCTATGGTCGAATAACGTTTGATCATAAAGCGCCGCTTGTACCATTCTTCCTCCGAAATACCTGCCATTTAAAGCGTCTCGCGCCTTCTCAGCTTCTACAAATGTATAATATCACATGAGCCAAATGATCCACAGTTTAAGATAATACCAAAGAGTATCAAATGTTAGAGATTCAACACTACACAAATATGTATTGGAACTTTTTTTAAATTTTGATACCGCACGGTATAGTTTATCTATTGACACACTGCAGTACAGATTTCTACAGCGGGTTTTGGGGTTATACACAACGGCGAATTATATCAAAATTAAAGGAATCTATATAAAATTTCCAAAAAGAAAAATGTTCTCACATATACCCTTTTTTCCTATTAGGTACTGCACATTCCGTTTGTTTCCCCCCTCCACACTAACACTGCATTTGTGAGAATTTTTTCAAATAGGATAAATGTATAGCCACTAAAACATTTTAAATCTCACCCTGTATTTAGTACTCTTTGGTAATGAAATGCATTTAATATGAAACATAATGGTATTACCTATAGTTTCCGTAAATTCAACAAATATTTTCACTATGATTTCTGCATATTCATCATCTTCCGATTGTTTTTCATTATAAATAATTACTCTCTCTACAGCTCCAAATTTGCTGCATTCTTCCTGAATTTCATCCTGCAATGTTTCATCAACATCGTTAGGACCGACCATATTCCTTAATATCACAACTTTTGAATCAACTTTACGCATTAACTTTTGCATAACAAGGTGTCTCGCATTTTGTCCCTTAATTGACATATTTTCCTGCTGTTGTAAAGTCTGTGGTTCATTCTGATCAAGTAACTTCTTCTGTAATTCTTCCTGCTGTTTCATTTGTGCTTCTTGAGCTTTTTTCATTGCCTCTTGAGCGGCACTGTTTACGCTTTTAGTAGACTGCTGCGCTAAAGTGGGGGTTACTACTGTTGGTGGTGGAATGCTAACTGCGGGAGCTGCAGGAACTGCGGTAATCACAGGAGCTGCATGGGAAGGTGGTGAAGCGGTTTGTGGTACTAGTTGTGGAATTGCTACGCCCGGAGGAGGTAAAACTGCAGTCGATGGTGGTGGAATAACAGGCGATTGGCTTAATTTCGACAATCCAAGCGCAACTGCGTTACTCGCAACAGCATCCATTGCTTGTATTTTCGCCGTTGCGGCGGCGGCTGCAACCGCTGCAGCCGTTGGCATAAGGCTGGATCCCGAGGAGGGTCCCATAAGTGCATTCGGTGGGGTGATCGCACGACCCACCCTTAAATATTGGCCACCCAAATCGAAAAGGTTCATGCTCGCAATTGCCTCATTAGCAGCCTGACAGCTTTCGTATTCTATAAATCCGTAACCTTTATGTTTATGCGCTGAACTTCCCTGGGCGAGTTTACAGTAGATAATGGGACCAAATGCTTCGAACACACTGTGAACATAATTTATTTATAAATTGCGGTAAGTTATCAGATAAGTGTATGGATGTCTTTTTTTGTTAGGACAATGACGAATTTGGTTAAATTTTTTAAGCGACTATTTCTTATCGCTCGGTATGTTTTGGATGGGAGTAAAATCATATCATGCCCACATAATATAGGGGACACTTCTATATTTTGTGGTCGTCACCCGTAACGTTAGGCAATCGAATACGTATTGGTTTGTCATTTTATAAGCGATATTTAATATTTAATAGCATAGCGCAAGGTCGCCGAATATAGTTAATGAAAACGCGGGTTCGAACCCTTGAGCGCGCGCCTTTTTTTCTATAATAGTTCGCCTACCAAAGCTTTGTTTAGCTTTAGATGACTGACTGAATAAAAGAATTTCATTGGATAGAATTGAAAAATTGTCCAATCATGTTTCTTAATTGTTAGTCAAGTGACAAATGAACAACTGGTGTCCTAAATGTACCAACCTTTTGATATCATCTTCCGTCAAATCCGGATGAATTGAAGCGACATATATCCTATTGTAGCTTTTGGCTTCCTCTTGAATTTCATCGATAACAGTCTGAGCTTGCGGCATATTACTTGGCCTACCGACAACTTTGATGTTCCTTCCGCCAATCATTACGCCATTCATTTGTTCGAGTGCCAATTGAGCTGCTTCTGGAATTTCGTATTCGACAAAGGCAAAGCCCTTATGCTTTTGTGTGATGGGATCCCATGACATATTAATTGATTTGATAGGTCCAAACGGCAGAAATGCTTGTCGAATGGTGTCTTCTTTTAACTCAAAACTGATACTTCCAACATACACCCTAAATTTAAGAAAAAACCGCTAATTTAGTGCATTATAAAACAACAAAAAAAAGCTATTAACTAATTTATAGTTTAATCGAGTTTAGCGAATATCTCGATTAAAATATAAAGGTTGTTAACATCAGATCTTATCAGCAAACTTCACAAGTCGGAGATTAAGAAAATCTCAACAACTTCTAATTATATTTAAATCATCAACTGAAAGATTAAGCATGCAAAAAATTGTATCACAGTATTCTGGTTGGCAGAAAGTAAAGCAAAAGAGCACACAAAATTATCTTATGCCCGAGAACAATGTGGTACAGCAAAAATAAAAAAAAATAAAGGCTAACCTGCACATAAGGGCGAGAGCCTGTTGTCGCTGGACCTGAGTCCTCTGACTTGCCATTTGCTGCAACAAAGGACAAGCGCCATTTCACAAGTAGTTAAAGCAAATTTTGGGGGCGAGCTCTCGCCCCCGGAGCGGGCACGTGTTATCAAACTACGCACCACTAACCTGCACATTAAAACTAACACTTGATGCCTCTGGAAGGTCTTATTTTTCTGCAGAGAAATGATTACATTATTACTACCAGCCGGATAGTTGCACCATACCGATGCAAGTTGGCCAATACAGTATCTACTACCATCGCAAAATTATAATAAAAAAAAGTATATACAAGACAAGAAAATAGTGCACAAAATAAGACAAAAGATCATGATATGAAACTTTTGCAAATACCAAACAAATTGGTTTAGTCTAATCAGTTGTATTTTAAATCTGCTCAATAACTATACAGTTAGTGGTTAAAAACATTGCAGCACTGTTCCCAGATTATGCATCAAGTTCCAAAATGTATATTATATTTGATTCCAATATTGCCCAAATTAAACAATCTATAATAAGAGTAGTACTTTGTTAATTCAAAGGAATTTAAGAAGATAAAAAGTAACAAGAACAAAAAATATTAACAGAATAAGAAAATGTAAAAGTATGGAACAACAGGGTTGCCACATCTGTTCTTCCAGACGGTTCAAAATTTAATTTTTTGTCTTTCCTGAAGTCAAAAACTTCATTCTTCGCTGAGAGCAAGTTCTTTATCAGTATTAACATAATCTACTAAAAGAAAACCTGTGTCTAAAAATTTGAACGTGCATACTGACTTTGCACATGCGCATTTATTTTGTTTATACTCTCAGCTTACTGTTGACGAAAATATCGGATAATGCTAATAACCATGTAACCTCTGTTTCTCTTCATTTATTAGAGATTGATTAATTTTGGATCAAGTTCATTAAAAGTACACAAAAACCATAGAAAGTGAAAACACACACCTTGCATTTCTGATACAACACACTATGAATTCTTTTTAATTAACCGAGAGCAAACCTGGAAATTGTACCTTTTCACCAGCAGTTGTTACATGCCAATGAAAATTCTAGTGTGCTGTAAAAGAAAAGAGAAATAAAAGAAAACTCTGAATTTGGTTTTTTTTTGCAGAGGAAAAGGGTATTATTATTTTTCTACAAACAGTAGAAATGAAGCGTGCACAAATAATTAAGAAAAACATAGAAATAGAAATAGTGAAACTTATAGGTTATAAAATATGAACACACGTAAATTAATAACAAAGCTGAAAATCTATGAAAGAAAGAACAATTAACTAACACCCTTGAATACACACTTCCAATGAATTCTTTGAAAGTAATGCTGAAATTCAAATTATTGAATAGTAAGACACTCGTCGTAAGTCTGTATCCAATTAAATTATTTTTCCGCATGCCGAGTAAAAATTATTACACCAAGACAATTATACATACTTGCTGTTGATGTGCAAGGGTTTGCTTCATGAGAACCATTTTAATACTTTGTTCCATAGCATATTTCTTAGCCCTGTTCACCGTGTCACTCTGATCGGTTGAAAGTTTTGGGAGAGCACCGCCCAAGATTCCTGCAATGGTGTTACTTCTAGCACCAGGACCTGTAATATACAATTCGTTACTCCTGAGAACATGTCGTTACAGTAGATGTATTATGTAGTGCTTCTCTGTCAAAGAATTCATTGCTTGGTTGCCTTCCTGACTATAAAGGATGACGCATTTTTTATGTTAACACCAATGCGATATCAGGAGCAGGTAGAAGTTTATTAAATTTATGAATTTAAACACAACTGTACCTGCATAAGCTAGACGAAATGGAGTCTAGCGGTCATTTCTTTTGTGAGTTGCAATAAACGTTGCAACTACTGTTTTCATAATCTTATATTTGAATGTCACATACTTAATTAATATACAGGATGTCCCATTTATCTTGAAATAGTCGAGTATTGCGGAAGTTTTCTTCATATGGGCACATAACTGTCCCTTGACAATCAAGTGTATGATAACTTCATTTTTTCAAATAGAAACCTATACTTCTTATTGAATATTCTTACTATACATCAAAAAATAAACTTTTGTGGGAAACGTTTTTTTTCTCCTACACTTACACATTTTTTTGTATTCTGGTCTGAAATACAAAATCTCACTACTTCAAATACCCGACTACATCAAATCATTACTATTTTTGTCAATTTGAGCCAGTCCTTTGTTTTTGTCATATACTCACACACTTTAACATATTTTCTGTACAAAAGAACAATATATGCAGTAAAAAAGACAGTCGATCTCACCTAATTCTGTAAATGAATGAAACTAAAGAATTACTTCCATACATAGTACATTTATTTATGTTTCTGTAAAATTATCTTTTTATCACATACATGATGTGCATATTACTCCGAACCGAAGTTATCCTTTACCCTTTTCACATGGTGTAAATAGAAAGAGGTGTAAGAACTGCTCCTTTAATTTTGAAGCAATTTTGTAGCTGTATAAAGTAAGGGGCGAAACGTAGCTTCAGTCTAATACACTTTCGCTAGTGGATTCTTATACAAATCACAATTGCATGCTTGTATTTGAAAATGCAGAACAAACCAGATAGATACAAAAATAAACAGTAAAGAAAACAGCATATTTTAGTTTTTAATTATTTATGTTTTGCATTTATTTTAAGTGGGCAGTTTTCAGTCAAGATGCCCACTGATCCACTATACACAGTGTCCATTTTTCGAGTGCTACTATGGGGATCTCACTGATCTTAAGATCTTCGTGCCGAATAAGAATCTGAAAAGACATTTCAAATATCTTCAATAGTTTTGAAGATATCTCAAAAAAACAAAAATTTCTGATTTTCGTTTTTAATTTTTTTTTAGGATAAACTAATCGCAGTAGACATTTCTAATTAACACATTATTCGGACACTTTTTAATGGAGATTTCAAATATGGCATCCTGTTTTTAATAACTCTCCAGATGACGGAGAAACACGTGGCAACTTTAGTTTTTCTTATGGGCGCCATTTTCAATTTTCACATTTTGAGATTACGTCTTTTTTTCTCTTTACAACGATATATCACACATGGTGGTTCAGTATCACATTTTTCCTAAAAATACAATTTTTAATTTTTTGAGAAGAATGCTTTGGAAAAACAAAACGTTCTTTTGTTGTGAACAAAAGGTTGACTTATTTCATGTAGTGTCATTTAGGTTTATGCTAGTTGTATTGCGAAAATGCCTTTTTCAAATGCAGATCAAAGAGATATGATCCAAATTTACTACACTTCTCTTCTCATTGAAATGCCCACATGACTGCTGCAACATACTTGCAGCGTTATTCAGAGGGGCAACAACCTAGTTTGAGGTATTTTTCTTTGCTGCATAAAAACTTGGGCGAATATGGTTCTTTTAAAAGATGTAGACAGCAATATGGTGATAGACCCAATGAATATGAGCAGGCAATTTTGCAAGCGGTTGAGATGAAAATCGAATTTCTACTTCGCTGACAACGCTGCAACCAGACAGATGGATCAAACTGTCAAACTTTTGTTGACAACAAAAGAACGTTTTGTTTTTCCAAAGCACTCTTCTCAAAAAATGAAAAATTGTATTTTAGGAAAAATGTGATACTGAACCAGTATGTGTGATATATCGTTGTAAAGAGAAAAAAAGACGTAATCCCAAAATGTCAAAATTCAATATGGCGCCCATAAGAAAAACTAAAGTTGCCACGTGTTTCTCCGTCATCTTGAACGTAATTAAAAACAGGATGCCATATTTGAAATCTCCATTAAAAAGTGCCCGAATAATGTGCTAATTAGAAATGTCTACTACGACTAGTTTATCATAAAAAAATTAAAAACAAAAATCAGAAATTTTCGTTTTTTTGTCATATTTTCAAAAGTATTGAAGATATTTCAAATTTCTTTTCAGATTCTTATTCAGCACGGAAATTTGCAACTTTGCCCCCATTTAACCAACTTTCTATCTCTTAAGATAAGTGAGATCCCCATATAGTGGCACTCGAAAAATGGACATCGTGTATACTTACAAAAATCCATTCCCAAAGGTGTCGACATAAAATGACCATCACTTTATAGGTACCTATATAAGCCTTGCTACAAGCTATCATGTGACAAAAAACGGCAATAAAAAAATAATCAAAACTATATGGGATATTGATGCAAACTGGTTTACTTTAAATAATGCACTGCACTATAAAACATTTCACAATGTCAGTCTATTACTGGTAAAAATTTGAGTCATAGCTCTGTTACAATTATGATTTTCAAAGTTATTACTGGACCCATAATAAATATTGTAAATTATATTCAGAATAGAATTAAATACTGAAAATCGTGCTCAGTATAAGATTATAGACTTACATTACATGTTGAAATACCAAATGATGCATTGATTAAAAAATGTAATAAATAGCAAAAGTATGAATTACCTGTAACAACTTCGCCAGATTGAATAAGATCATTATAAGTTTCAGCTTCCTCTGTGGCATCTATAACAAAAATACAAATGAACACAAAACTCAAACTGAGCACCAATATATTGATTGTATTGTACATAGAAAATTGTTCAAAATTTTGGAAAAAATCAAATTAGAATGATTTATTAATTTAGGATGAAGTACATTTAAATAGGAAAACGTTAAGTGAAAAAGAAAAAATGTAAAAATAAAATATACTTAAATGGTAAAATAAAAACCCTACACACACAAGTCAAAATATTAAACAGCAGAAAGTCTTAAGTGAGTTCTCAATCTCAAGATGCTTCAATAGGGTCGAGCATGCGTTGCCAAGAAAAAGTAACAGGTCGCACCTAATTTGCATCTGGAAAAATAAAAGAAAAGTAGCATTGTCTAAACAAGTCCCCCTCCAATAATCATGGAAATGCAGAACCGGCACACCTCGAAATACCACCAAAATTGAGTAAATTAATCACTTCACGACAAATGAGTAATCGAGGCATGCCTGAATATGTGGCTTTTGTTAAAAATACTTTTATGCAGCCTGAGTATATTTGATATACTTAACAATCCGTGGTACTCAAAACCCATAAAAGTAAGCGTCGTCATATGTTTCCTACCATGTAACCGTGAAGGCAACGGTTACAGCATTATTTGGCTTGTGCAACTCCGCTAGCGGTAACGAACCAGTTGATCTCTTTTCTGGAACATCGGAAGCAGACCGAAATATCGTACATTAGTATGTAGATCCATACTATTTGATAACTCTTTCAAATAAAACAAAATGCAATACTTACCTAATAGCTTAAACCGTTTTTGTGGAACTTCTTCAGTGCCCGGAACTGGTGGTTCGATATCCAAATTTTCCTCCAGGGAGGTTTGTGACATGTTTTTCTACAATCAATATTTACACAAAGATGAATTGGAAACAGACCAAAATTACCATATTCAGTGATCCGTTCAAAAGCGAATGTTCTTGCTGATACGCAGTCATCATGATGACGATTTATAGCAAAGGATACATTGGAAATTTAGCAATAACAAATAAATAAAGCGATATCAAAATGGCGATTGCCAAGACAAGCACAAGTCAAGCTTCTTGTAGGATTTTTTAAAAAAAACCGGCCTGTATGTACAGGTTCACCAACATAAGCTGTGTTATATACAAGGTGATCACAAATACTTGTTTTCTTTAATTAGTATCTAAACAATTACCACCTTTATCGACTTTATGGCGCCTTGATAACAATATTGCAAACTGTCTGTGGATGAGGTGAATGTATTTTATATTATATTTTATTGTTTATTGTCAGTCATCTCAGTAACTCGTAAGCCCCCGTGCGAGATATGTTACATAACTGGCGGCAGTTTTTTAATTTTCTCGTCCCGTTTTTAATTAAAGACGAAAAACATGTATATACGCCACTGGAAATGTTTTACCGGGAAGTGCTCAATTCAAATTTAATTTGAATTGAGCACTTTCACAAATTTTGCAAGTATATACGCAATACTTCTCCGAGCGAGAAAGAGAACGCGCCGAAGTTTTACTTTTGATGGTAGAGGTTTGCTTTTACCTATGTATTTGAATTTGCAAAGCGTTATAAAACCTTGCAGGTTTACAACATAAATTAAAACAGTTGAGCGAAGGGCCGTATTTAGGGGTCTAGGTAGTTTTGTTTATTTGTTAGAAATAGCATGTTTTTACATGTATGTAGAAGTTTAATTGGGGGTGTTTTATTTATATTGGTCGATCCTAAAAGCACTGAACTTTGTATATAATTTCTGTGGAAAAAAGAGCAAGAAAGTGATAGAGAAAAGAGGAGTGGGGGAAGGATGCAGGTATGAAAGAGACGCATAAGATGGGAATGTATGATAGAGCAATAAAATTGAGCAAATGATAGAGGCGAAAAGAAAAGGCAAGAATTGATGGTACAAAGTGTAAAGGAAAGAAGTGTGACAAGGCGAAAGGAGTAGGTTAAGGTTTGATAAAGTCCCATACCAAACATAAACCTCACTGAAATCATAAAGATACTCAACAATTGGACTTTATTCATAAGTAGTATTAAAAAACTATTCCATGTCTTTGAAAACCACATTATTCACTCATTTCTTCCTCATCATCCTCTTCTTCATCACTGGTAACATCTGGTTCATTCACTTGTTCTTCACACTTCAAGCAATTGCATACAAAAAGGTAATTTTCCATCAAAACTTTATGTCTGGAATGTCTTGACCTTTGCAGGTTGCATTCATCTAAATAACTAATTGTAATCTCTTCGCCAGCTTCGATGTCTCTCAAAGACACAAGTGACAGTCGGCTATTGTTATGAAGATAAGTGGGTTCCGCATTCGGCACACAGCTATGATTGCAAGAACTCTGAAGCGAAAATAAAGCGACACCTTCGTTGTTTAAGAAATTCCCGGATACCCTATCCATATCTTCATATAATTTATCAATAAAATTATCGAGCTGTTGCTTTTCTGCATCAGGTAGCGGCAACTCTGAGCTACGAGTGACCCACTGGCTTACCGCACTTGTACCCACCCCCTGTCCGTTGGTGCCAATTAAAGCCAATAAGCTTTGGAAACCTTCCAATGTTAAAAACTGTTCGATGCCCTCGTGTGGAACAGCTTGGAGTAGCAGATTGTGCAAAAGTAAAAGTTGGTCTGCAAATTTTTCGCCCAGTAGCTTATGAACAAGTTGGGCGTCCTCATTGATAGCGCGATGCGTGAATTGTAGGACTGCTTCCTGCATCTGTTCCGGATTTGGAGATTGTAAAATTGTTGCCAGTAGTCTTGGAATTATCATAATTGTACTGGTTTCCGGAGGATAATGCATATGCCTAAAAATACAATGCATGAATAAGTAAGATAGTTGTTGTTGTCGGTAGGTATCTAAAATACATATGTTTCAAATAAATTTTTATATTTGTCTAGCAATTACTCCATTAGGAGAGCTCTGTTTCTTTATAAATCAATTTTGAAACAATGTATTAGAACCTTGATTAAAACATACATGGCAAAAGTATTTTGCCAAACTATAGGTCCACATATTTTAAATACACATTCTTCTAAGGTATTTTGTATGTTAAATACGAAGACCAACCCACTCCTGATAATCATCCAAGTTATTATAAAGAATGTGGACGTCTGACTTGATATTTTAAGTTAAGATAATGAAGATAACTGTATCATTACTGTGTTACTTACTTCCAAGCCTCATTTAAGTGTTCCATTGGATGGCTATTATTTCTCTCTTTAGTTCTCAGACATAATATACGATGATAACGATTGAAAGCCTCATTTTGACAATGCACACTGCAATACTCGACTCCACAGGTAGAACATGACACTATACTATTTTTATTGGTGGTGCAACACTCTGGATAAGGCAGTATCAATTCAGGATTGCCGGTTAATCGACGTGCATTCTCTTGAGCAGACTCCAGAGGACTTAAAAATAGCATATGACAATACTTCATTTCATTAAATCTCTGTATCTACCGTAAGCAGTGGTCACAAGTTTTGTACATGTAACTACAATTCCACGAAAACTGGCAGCAGACTAAAGGATCTTCTTCAAAAATTATAGTTCCGCACGGAAAACTCTTTTTGGCAAACAATCCCCTGCCCTAAATAGAAAAAGAACAGTAAACAAAATGTGCGTCGACATTTCCATTAAAGGATAAAAATTGGATAGTATTAATTAAAGTTTTTCTCCCTATCTTAACTAAACTTATCTGATAGATAACTACGTAAATGCATTTGTTTTCATGAAAATTAGGGTTTAACAGAAACAAGAAAAACCGGCCCTAAGAATTAACAACTGAGAGAACTAACACACAAGTAAGTACAGTAGAATCCTTATATAGTAGATCATTTAAACTTTCATGTGTTAATGTCTTAGTTATTAGCTGTTAATTATTAATTGTTATTTTAGTTTACGTTAAACCTGCCTTTCTTCTACTGAAAACATGCTTTTCATGGGAGGCAGCCGACTACGAAGAAGTAGGTGTATTTTTTTGTAAGTTTACCTTTATGTTATTAATAGCACGAATTTCTACATCCATTGCTATCCAGTTTTTTTAAAAGTAAATAACCAGTACGTAATACACTAAATTTTTGAAATAAATTCAATTTTCAGAAATGTTAGGTTAGGACACGGCGATTGATACAACAGTGGCTAGAGCAGCGTACATTTGGTGGTGTATATGCTACGGTCAAAGTAAGTACAATGGTACAGTAGGCGCTTTCTTTCGGTGATCCAAACGCGTTTGGATTGTCAAATCACGTTCTTTCGAAGTGTGATCTTATAATCATGATTGCTAAAATCGAGAACAAACTGAACATAAAAGTTTTATGATCACGAATTCCTAACCTATAAATGCAAGGATATTTTTGCTCAAATGTTAGGTGATTTAAATTCGCGCGTTCTTTCGTAAAACGTGATCCTACGGATCACGATTTTGAAATCATGATTGCAAAGTAGCCGAAAGAAAGCGCCTAGTGTACAGGGTTGCGAATTCTGATTTTGTTAATTGGTAGTTTAAACGTGTTCGTAGTGCGTACAATAGGCGTTTTTTCGCGTTGACCTAGTCGAACAATTCTGGTCACGCTTGGTTATGAATTGGTCAATACAAATTAACGGTCATTTGAACAGAGCGCGAGAACAGTTATGAGTTGTTAGTCATTTAACATAACCACAATTCGCAGTACATAACCTATATTTAAACGCAATATCGTTAATTCCTTGGTATGTACCCTGATCAACTTGTATGGTATGCTTTATTAGTTTCATCATCCAATAAAGTAATTTTAAACATAATCGGAAAAATAATCGCTCGCCGTGGAGTAAACATCCAATAGTCTTATGTATACCTAAGCCTAACCTTACAATTCAAAACATCAAAACAACCGGCGGAGTACGGTCAACCGGTCATGAACGGGTAAATCCTGCGAGACCCTTGTAGAGGCTAGAAATTCTTTGACCGGGAGCGCGAAAACAAGAAATTCTTGACCACGTTCAATGGTCATTTGAACTGGTCAACGCGAAAAAACGCCTAATGACTATAGTCACTGTAGTAGGGCGTAGTACGTAGTCCTTAGATAAATAAAATTGGATAGCCTAGCAGTTCCCTTCCTCTCTGCAATTGTTTATGTGTTTCGTTGTTTATTAGAACCGAAAGGTTGCTAACATTTTTTGCAAATTCACTTTTTATTTGTACGTCTAGGACTGTTAACGAGATAACTCGAGAACGTAAAGATTTTTGGAAAAATGATAGCTCTCGTCTGCCGCTTGCATGAGTTCGTAGACTAACAAAATTAAACAATTTCAAAACCAAAATTTGTGTAAAAAAAACTACGGGAAAAATTGAAAATAAAAAATTAATATATGTGCCACTTTTTAGATCCAAGTACAAGATGAAGCAGTGAAAGTTGATTTGATGGCATTTAGTTTATTTTTTTATTTGCACGATAATTACTCACCTAAATGTAATGCTATTTGGTATGGTTGGAAAGCATTTTTTCAGAGCTTTCCAACGACGTATCACACATGGGGGGTCACTATTTAAGATTTAAAAGTTGTGGTGGCTTGGCACAGAGGGTTGGAGGGGGTGCGTGGCCAACTATGTCATTGTAACTCCCCCTCCGAATTACCGAAACGGATTTTGATTTTTTTAAATATGTCGTTTATGTACTATGAAATGGGGGGGGGGGGGAGTTTTCAAATTGCCACCCTGTGTATATGCTCATGAAGCATGTCGTCTGGTGAACGCGCCCATTGGCTACGTCTTGGTTGGGTAAGGGCAGGCGCAGGCAGTTTGCGCAGTACAACCTTTCCCTTTTAGAGCGTCCATAACTTTATTATTTCCTAATTTGATTTCTTGTAATTATAATGTGATGTTAGTTTGTAATAATTTTGTTCTCCTAAGTCGGATAATTGCATGAAATTATCTGAAATGTGTTGTTTCTACTTTAAAAAGTTGTATCAATGAAGGAACCTTCAGCGTCTCCACCAGTTTCTGCTATGGCAACTCCAACAAATGGCAGTGGTAACTTGGTGGATGAATTTGAAGAAGCTTTTCAGGTAAATAACAAGGTTTTCTTTTGCGAATAATTTTAATGTATGAATCCATTTCAGCATTGTCTTAATGTCCTTACCAAAGAAGAGGCTGTCGGTAGTACAGACAAGGATGATATTAGAACAGAAGTTGAGCAAACAACACTGCGATTCATCGATTTGGCACGGCAAATGGAAGCATTTTTTCTTCAAAAACGTTTCTTGCTCTCCGCATTAAAGCCTGAAATGGTAGTTAAAGAAGATATTAACGAATTACGTCTAGAACTAACTAGAAAAGATGAATTGCTCAAAAGACATTACGAAAAAATTGCTGTGTGGCAAAACCTTTTAGCCGATCTACAGGGTTACGCAAAGAGCCCCGCACAAAGTTCGTCCACACAAAATTTGATCAGTAACGGTAGTTCCGTACCGCCATCTCCTATACCAAATATACCGGGAAACCAAACGCCAAACCAAATGATTGTGTCTGCTATGTCACCGACAATGCAGCAAATGCAACAGCAGCAACTGCAGCAGATGCAACAGCAGCAGCAACAATTACAATTACAACAGCAGCAACAGATGCAGCAATTACAACAACAGATGCAGGTAGACCGCCGTTGATCTCTTCAAGCGCATGATAATTGTTGTAGAGCATTTGAAATCGACAGAATTGTTCAAATTTCTATAAAGCCACTGTAGTTTTACATGTTTTGACTTATTTTATTAAGCGATGAAACGATTTAATTCCTACTAACAATGGTCAAGCGCAAACTTAAAAAACATTTGTTTTCCTCTTCCATTGTAGCAAAAGTCATCCTTTCTTTTGTTTAGGTGAATAACATTAGTACATTTGTTTTTTGTGTGGTTGCTTATATTGAAGAAGCTTGGTTAAAGAAACAGGAGAAAAATCATTCTTCTGCTACATTCAATTTTTTTTTGGTAGTGGTTTGGGGCCATCTGCATATATTTTCTTGTTTTACTTTTAGAAATGATACCTCCTTATATTGGTATCCAACTTCACATGTTTACTCACTTCATTTCAGGTATATTATTAATACTTATAAACTAAATGCTTTATTTTCTAATATTTTTTTAAAATTTGTTTAAATCAAAGGTAAGTATAAATGTAAGTGGTCTAAGCTTATACATTGCATCTCGCATTGCATATTAACTGCTTTAGGCCATCGATTTCGGAACAATATCAATCTGTTTAGCTTCATACCTGTTTATCTTCTTTAAATATGCCAGCACACATGGATCACATTTACAGAATCCAAAACTATCATTACCTTAGAAACAATCAACTGAGATTCTAAAGTAACAGGTGACCATTATCACTGATTTAATTAAGTCTGTGGGTGACTGGGTGAAGTGCTTAATCAAATTGCACTCTGTACAATTTATTATCTTGAAATTGGGAGTAGTTGATACAAATGAATGTCAAATTGATGAATGGCTGTATGATATTTTGTATAGTACTGGTATAACAGAATGCTTACCAACCATTGCTTGGATCTTTACCTGGAGTGGGATAGTCTGATATTTTTACATTGATTAAATTTCTCCCGTCGCAAGCGTAGTTCAATATACAACCACATTTCTACCATTTCCTTTTGTATTATGAAAAATTCATTGAAATTCTGTTTGCTTGACTCTGTTCGACAAACCCATTTTTTTAGTTTCCATTCCTCCTTTCCTCTCCCAATTTAATAAAGTATGTTAAAACATGTAACATTTTATGATGAGATTTAGTGTAAATAAGGCTGCGTTTTTAAAAGTCATCATGCCCCTTTTTATTGTCTTCCATAGACTTGTTAGTCAAATGGACAGATTACTACAACGATTTGTTTAAATGTAGCTTTGTAGTATTTATATTAGTTAGCTCTGTAAAAGTGGTGGGTGCTTATGCATTTGATTAAGTTAATATCATCGTTTTGAATATAGGTGTAGTCAAAGGTGCCAATTAGCTGAAATATTTTGGCTTATCATTTTTTACGAGTAGTTATGTTTGTGACTAATTTCAGGGATTAGGTTTACGTTTGGCCTGTTTACTAACTCTCAGGGTGTTCAAAACGGCAATATTTGATATATACATGTGATAAGCATTATTTTATTATTGTATCTATTTATGAACTGAAGATAGTATACGTGTGCAGCTATGCTCATATGTGCCTTTTAGAGATTCTAACCATTGTTCTAAGAGATTATGTATGTAATTCATACAACGATAAGAATAAGGTGGTGCCCTAATCATTTTTGTTTCATTTAATTTGCTATTGTGAGGATTTTCGTTTAGGGCACCTCCGTATTGTTTTTTTTTATTAACTGGGTTCTAGTGTATCGTAGCAGCTGAATAATTCCGTAGATACTAAATTGGGCCGTTAATTTAATTTCCACTAACAATTGAAATTTTTTTGTATATTTAGCAAGTTATAGAAATAAACAATTATGAGAGAAACGCAGTTTTATTTATACAAAATTTGCGACATTTACATTTTTTTTTTTAAATCAAGATGGTAGGTATATATTATGACGTATAGTTTAACCTTATTTTAGAATCTTATTTCTAGGTTCCTCCCGGTATGAGCAGTTCTGGGGTTGGGGTAGGACCGGGAATGATGTCACCTCAACAAGCAATGTTCATGCAACAACAAGGAATGGGTGGTGCAAGGACGTCATTTCCTCAACAGGGTGGCTTGCTACAGGGACCATTGGCGTACTTAGAAAAAACTACAAGCAATATAGGTATGATTGAACTGTTAAAGCGAAAACGCGTAAATTACATGTTATAGGCATGACGGATGGACGAAGGTGACGCGGACGCGGGAGGGGGCGTGGCAGAGGAAGGGGTAGAGGCAGAGGTCGTGGCCGTGGGGCTTTGCCAGATTATGTATCCCCATAACCCCCTCCCGTAGCTAGGAACGGTCCTTGCATGCATTGCTATTAGATGCAACGTTCTTGGGGAAATCCGCTGGTTAGAGTAGCATATATGTATGCGTCAATAATAATCTCTTAAAACAGACTTTTTAAATGTATTTATGTGGCTATATGCTTATATATTTTTTTATTTGCACTGCACATAATGTTTATTTAGTGTAATATCATTTGCAATAATTTTTTCAGTATTGGCAAATATTTAGTATTAATGAAACTTAACAGTAGGATTGTACATTTTGATTCTGATTTCATGGTCAGTATTCTGTATGAATTTAATATTTACAATAAGTTTATGTTTAACTGTATTAGTAGGTAAGTAAATCAGTACAGAAGAGTTTAATAGAGTGTAGTACGTAGGTTGCTACTGGTGCTGGACCTTACATTATAATTTTTGGGTAAGTAATTTTATAGAATGCAATATGTTTGTGCAATATTTACTGTATCTGCTTTTGCACTATGACATGTGTATTACCAGATATTTGCTTTGTCCCTTTAAATTTTGCAATCAAATTGCATTACTTCACCTATTCTGAATGATTTAATATATAAAGAAATCTGTTAGTGCCAGCACTAGAAACGATCCTCTATATAACATTTTTGTTGATATGTAACGTTACCGAATTATGATCAAAATTTGTGATAATTATAATAAAATATGTATATCTGTAGCTTAATTTGATTCGTAAATGTAGGTATTAGTTGAATTGCACATCGGTTACATGTTTAAGTGTAGTTTAAGTGTGAAGTTTTGATTGATTGAGATGTGATCACATTAATACTTTAGAGAAAGAAGTGTGTCACACTAAGGAATTATTGTGTATTGAATAGGTTTTAATTACTTATACTTTCTTTTTTAGTTTCAGCTTACAAGTATGGTTACAATTTACTAATAATCTACTGCAATTCTTTATAAATTATACTAGTTGAAAATTATACTATTTCAATATTAGTTTTATTTTTTATTGAGGAATATGACGATTAAACAAACTTTTATTTTTTAGTTGTAGATATTTCTTAATTTATTTTTGCTTTATATCCCATATACAAATCCACTAATCCGGCATAAACGAAAAAATTTAGGTGCTGGATTACCGAACGCCTACAGAACTTTAGAAAGTATTTAAATACTTTGTAAAGTATTTAGGAATTTTGAAAGTATTTATAACTATACTTCACAAAATTATCAATATACTTTTCAGAGTAGCCATTGAAAGTACCTACCTACATCACACGGTATTTGAATTAATTAGCTGGTCAAAATCAGAATATTGACAAATTTCAATAAAACTCGCTGAATACTTTTATCTTGCAATGAAAATAACAATAGTTATTTATTATACAAGGGAAAAAAGTATTCCATTTTAGCTCGAGGTTGTGTTGTCTCCCGACTTACTCACGTATCAACAATTTGTTTAAAAAAATTGGCTATAAATAAGAGTTGAAATCGAAATCCCCTGTAGTTTTTAAAAACAATTGACGAATTGACTCATATAATTGACAAACAAATAAAAAATTTATTATGCAAACAAAAATGGCGAGATCATGTTTTCCTCATTAGCGCATTTCCACAAAAATAAAAAAAAATGCGCTATTGTGGCCACTTTGTCCGTCCGTCCTCTCGTTTTGCGACGCTACTAGTTCTTTATCTTAAGAGCTATTGTTCTACTTTTTTCGCTATTTGGTTCGTTATGGTGTCGAGTCTTGCACCAAGGAAGGATTTTTTTCTGTACCGCTTACAAAAAAAGTTATTGTAAAAAAACAAAAAACCGTTTTTTACATGTTCCATAATTTTACACTTTTGCCGTTTATTAACGATCCTAGATCTTTTATAATTTTGTATTGCTGTCTGTCGTCTGTCTGTTGGTCTGTCCGTCTATTCCTTTGTCTGTCTGTCCCTGTATCTGTCCGTGTGAACGATAACTTTGTTTAGAAATGCCCCATTGCTTTTACATCTCCGTTAGTTATTAACTGAATTGCATGAAATTCAATATGGGCATAGCTTTAGCCATATAATACGCAATGCCAAAAGTTGAGTCGAATCGATTTAAAATTCACAGTGCCCTTTTCGCATCTCGACCATTTATAAACCGAATTGCAAACTTTTTTAATTATAAAAGTATTTAAATGAAATATACATTTACAAGTATTTAAATGAAATACATAGCCACTTGGAATAAAGGAAAATCAAACGCCAATTTCAAAATTTGGTTTTGCGCATGCGCAGTGCCAACTTTTTTATTTATGGAAGAATTTAAACGAAATTTGATACATAGGCACATGAAATAAAGGAAAATCAAACGCCAGTTTCAAAATTTGGTTTTGCGCATGCGCAGTGCCAACTTTTTTATTTATGGAAGAATTTAAGCGAAATTTGATACATAGGCACTTGGGATAAAGGAAAATCAAACGCCAATTTCAAAATTTGGTTTTGCGCATGCGCAGTGGCAACTTTTTTATTTATGGAAGAATTTAAGCGAAATTTGATACATAGGCACATGGAATAAAGGAAAATCAAACGCCAATTTCAACATTTGGTTTTACGCATGCGCAGTGCCAACTTTTTTTTATCTATGGAAGCATTTAAGTGAAATTTGATATTTAGGCGCTTGGAACAAAGGAAAATCTAACATTAGTTTCAAAATTTAGGTTTGCGCATGCGCAGTTCCAACTTTGTTATTTAGAAAAGCATTGAAATGAAATTCTTCTCATAAACTGAACTTGAAGAAGCACGGCAAAAATGGATTGCCCATGTGCAACGCTATCTTTCATATTTGTGGCCGGATTTTTACAATTTTAACAGAAGTTGCATCTTACAAATGGGAAATGAATGCAAGTGGAAATGCGCTTTATGTAAATCGTTTACGATTACTTTTTAACTTATATTTTAATGCTAGGGCCAGTATAGGCAAAAGATTCTTGCGCCCCATTCTCTTTCAAATAATACAAGTTTTACTACGTGTCAGTTTCTCATATAGTTAAATTAAAACTATCAACAAATACATTGTAATTGTACAAATAACTTATTTGACTACGTATATCAAGTTTTGAAATACTTTCCTCACAGTTGGGATACGTCTTTTTTTTAACAAACATGGTTTGTTATTCATATAAATACCACTTATTATAGGGGAGCGTATACAGATATAAAAAAATTTAAATCGTGAATAAGCGAATTGGCAAGTATTTGGAGTGTCTACTTCGAAAAGTTGGCACTGCACATGCGAAAAATCAATTTTATTTTAATGCTTTTGTAAATAAGTTGGCATTGCCCATGCGCAAAACCAAATTTTTAACCTGGTGTTAGATTTCTTTTTGTGCCAAGCTAGGATGCAAGCGACTTCCAAGATAGAACCATATCAATGTTAAATGAAAAGTCAAACTTTCCCCACTTCCATAAGGGGCTTCATCAATCAAAAATAAAAAAATTGTCCAGGATGGGCACAAGCAGACTTCTGTAGTAACGAGCGATCAATAATGAGTTGCTGTCGAGTCACATTTGGAAGTTCAAGTATCATTTCCCATGTAAAAAAATTCCAAAGGTGACTCAACAACTACTCATTTTTGATCGAGTGTTTGTTGACCAGTGATGGACCTCTCAGATAGAAGATACCATCTTTCTATCAATTAGCAAAAAACGAAATTCCACACCATCTAAGGGTGTTCAGTGTAAAACTCATAATTTAATGGAATAACTTTTATAATCAATAACTACAACAATCTATGCAGAAACTTGAGGTGTTAGGTTTATAAGATGATTACTATTTTCAGCAAGTTCTGATATAGACACTCGACCCCGTTGCTTGATAAACTTTGCAACTGCCTCCATTTCTTCACGTGAAACGTAAATAAATTTTCCACGGTCGTCGATCACGCCAGTTAGGATGTCGTCCTTTTGTAAATCTTGAATTCTATCGATAGCAGCTTGAGTTTTCAGTTTAAATTGTGCAGCCAAATCCTCAATAACAACGACCTTATTTTTTTTAATATAGGAAACAAATTCTTGAAGCAAATTTTGACTGTCCTCACTCTCGCCTTCATCAAATCCTTCTGCTTCAACGCTAAAGGCTTCTTTCATTTTTAAGTATTCTTCGTACTCTTGTTTTTCTTTTTCTTCTTTTAACTTACGTTGTTCTTCTTCAATTCGCTTTTCCTCTAATTGTCTTTTTTCATCTAACTTTTGCCTCTCTTCCTCTGCTTGCTGGTCCCTTTTTTTCTTTTCACTCCTTCGTTGTTCTTCTGCTTCACGTTGTGCCTTTTTCTCAGCCTTTGCTTCCAACTTCGCTCTTTTCTTCACTCCCATTTTTTCATCTGGCAAATCAGGAGTGCGTTCGACAGGTTCCTCTTCATCTTCCGAATCAGCTTGTCTTCGTCCTGAAAAAAGGTGTAAAGACATGACCCTGACTACTTTCGTACATACCTCCCGCACCACGCATATGCATTCCCCTGTTTCTTGCAATTTGTGCCCTCCTTGGTACTCCATCATTTGGTCGTTGAGCACGATTTTGAGCTGGAGGTTTAACTACAAAGACATGTTAGAGAAAGGGAATCCATATGCTGTTATGATTTACTCTTAGGAGTATTCCTTGTGTTGAAAAACAGCCCTATACTCAAGAGTATTAATAGTGTAACTGCTGCCAATGCAATTAATAATGTTATGTCCATTTTGGCCTAAAAATCGTTCAATAAAAAACTTGATATTAGAGGTTAGGTAATTAGGTTATATCACGGTTATGTACATTAAAGAAAGTGGATAAAGTACGGGATGTACACAATTGTCAAGTTAGCAGTAATGGATTTACGATATGGCAACAGTGTAGCCCTCCAGTAAAACTGTTCATTTCCACAGCTGATAATAATGATAATTCAATTTTGTCAAGTTATTTATATTCCCATAAGCGTTTGCATTAATTTTGCCTTTGTTGCCCTTTATGGACCACACTCTTTTGTTTATGAGTGAACCGAAAGTGGCTAAAGTAAGCCCATAGACATATGAGAATAATAAGTCACTTACTCTCGAATTCTATATTTTTCCTTATTCGTAATGGGCATGTAGCGCAAGAAATGCGTAAAGTACTGAATAGAATTAATATTAAACAGGTTCGAGCCGTAATACTGTACATTTTGGCGACCATGTAAATTGTGTTTTGGATTTGGCAACACTGCACGGAATTCCCTTTCCTCCTTGATAAGAAAATTAAAAATACATTGGTGATTGTGGAGGTGACGTGTTAAATTATTATAATTATTAAAATACTTAAAAGATAAAAACTATGAAAAGTGCAGTAAATTTACTGTTTTTAATAGTTCTATCTGTATTGCATACCGTTTGTGGTTTATACTTCCACATTGGAGAAACAGAACGAAAATGTTTCATAGAGGAAATCCCAGATGAAACAAACGTTATAGGTAAGAATAGCAATTAATTCATTCAAATAATAACTATTTTGAACTTTAGTAAACTACAAAGTTGAATTATACGATCCCCGAAGCGGTGGATATATGCCTTCTTCACCCGGTATTGGAATGCATGTTGAGGTTAGGGATCCTGATGATAAAACGCTGTTATCCCGAGTGTATAGTTCCGAAGGTCGTATATCCTTTACGTCTCACACACCTGGCGAGCATGTAATTTGCATGTTTTCCAACAGTACCGCTTGGTTCAGCGGTTCACAATTAAAAGTACATCTCGATATTCAAGTTGGTGAACATGCAATTAACTACGGAGACGTAGTACAGAAAGAGAAGCTGTCTGAACTCCAGTTACGAATTCGACAATTGCTCGACCAAGTGGATCAAATCTCCAAAGAGCAAAATTATCAACGAGTAAACCACGTCAATTATTACACACTTTCTGTTTAATAACTAATTTATTTTAGTACCGCGAAGAACGCTTCCGACAAACTAGCGAAAGCACAAATTCTCGAGTTTTGTGGTGGTCGATAATACAAACTGCAATATTATTAACAATGGGCGCTTGGCAAATGAAGCATTTGAAGAGTTTCTTTGAAGCGAAAAAGTTAGTTTAGAATCTCAATCTTGTTATTCTGTTTTTTTAAAAATAAAACGGTTGTAAAATTTGTAATTTATTGAATAAAATTTTATGAAAATCCCATGCACTTATTAATATATTTGGCAAATAAAGTTTTATTTGATGTGGGGTACTCTGCTAATTTTGTAATGTCTTGCAACAATAATTTGTTTAAAGTGGAACATGTACCATAATATAAATAGCCCTGTCTTTCTAATTCTTGGGCCAATTCCAGTTGGTGGTTATCCATTAAATCGTCATTTATAACGACAATTAATGGTTTCTTCTTCTTTAAGACTTGTAAGCAGCTACCTGCACCAGCGTGACTGATAACTAAGTCCGATTTTTCTATTTCATTGTCAAAATCCTCAAAATAGGTGTTATAAGACAATTCAATACTTTCGTGTTTTACTTCAACATAAGAACCATTTCCCACTTGTAACTGAATTTGGTTATAACCTAACTTATGTAGAATTCCTAATATCTCCTCGTTTGTTACAGTTTTGAGAAGTTTATCAAATTTTGTTGTGCCGACTGTTACAAACAGACGTTTTCCATTCATTCTACAAAATACACAATAAATACTGGCAATAGATAGATTCTCTATGGTTATTGATAAGGAACAGTTACAGTGTTGTCAAATTTCTTAAGTCTACAGTCACAGTCAGTTTTCCCACAGATATACGTTACGTATATCTGTGGTTTTCCATTCAATACTAATTCAAATCGTTAGACCACCAACAATACACACTCCTAGGTATACTTCTATCATTTTAAACAATGCTTTTAAACAATCCTTTTCGGTTTTGCATATTTTTAATAATAATAATTTTATTGACCATTTATACACAATAGACCAATAAAAGGAGTTTATCGAAAAGATGTAGTCAATATTTGATTTATGATGCGCAAATTACCTGTGTCCATTACTGCTTTTTTCTATGACTCCTTCTTCTGTAAATTATTTGGTTTTGTTATAATTAGTTGCTACCATTTCCCAATACATTTTTAATGACACTTTTACTATTTGTTAGTTGTAATAATCAATTTCACTGATGAAGTAATTTATATATTTACATGTGAATGGAATGAACTAAATAATTCATTTACGCACGGTATATCCTGATCTTTTTTGTCCAAATCCTTTCACAACTCCTCTAGCTTTCCTTGCAGAGCTGGGCAGAATACTTTCAAAAAGTATTTGAATACTAAATACTAAATACTTTACACAAATCAAAGGTACTTGCAAATACTTTTACATCCAGTACAAGCGAATACTAGATACAGATACATTGAAAAGTATTCAAATACTTTAGAATGTATTCGAATACTTTGAAAAGTATTTCATTAACTTACTTTGAAACGTATTCGAATACAGTAAAAAGTATTCAAATACATTAAAAATTTAAAATAGTATACTAGATAAAAGTCTTAATACTACTTAAAAAATCAAGTTATACTTTGTATGGGGTTAGCTTTTTTTATATTTCTATTGTTATATACAAATTTAAGGGGAGTAAAAGCATATTATTATTATTATATTATTATATAGGAGGTACCTACCAGGACGTGATACGTACGCCTTTCTGAAATTAATCCGATTTTGGAACAGATCCTTTTTTGACCATCCGTTTGTCCGTGTGCATGATAGTTTGTTTAGAAACCTGCGATCGCTTTGAAAATTGGTACACATGGTCTTAAGGATATAAGAAAGGTCCCTATTCTTTTTAAGTTACGTAGACTATCGAGTCAAAAAGTTTCACTCCAGGATCGTTCGGTATTCAGTTGTATCGGATTTTTATATTTGATTTTGTGACAATGGAAACTTTCCCTAAACATTTCTAAATTGTTCTCAAATATTTGAATAACTTAAAAGTACTGCTTTTTTGAGGCCGGAAAAAAATTGTCTGAGATCGAGATCGAACGAAAGCCCATAATTTCAAACAGTTTGAAGATTGGCCTACTAGTTCAAAAGTTACAGCCCTTTGAATTTTTTTTCGAAATTGGTTTCTAGTCTATAAGTTTTGATTGAAAAATCTAATCGAAAAAGTACGAATTGTTTTGGATTCTACGCACCAAAATTAATAACAAAAAGTGTTTTCCCGAGAAATTTTGGTGTAGTCGATTTTTGGTAAAAAAGGAAGGTTATACACTGCCTTTTTTTGAACCCCGAAAAAAAATTGTCTCAGATCGACCCGGAAAAAAATTTTCTTATAGAATGTGGCCTGTAGAATCCATAATTTCAAACAGTTCCAAGATTGGGCTACTAGTTCAAAAGCTACAGCCCTTTGAATTTTCTTTCGAAATTGGTTTCTAGTCTCATAACTTTTGATTGAGAAGTCTGATCGAAAAAGTACGAATTGTTTTGGATTCTACGCACCAAAATTAATAAGAAAAAGTGTTTTCCCGAGAAATTTTGGTGTAGTCGATTTTTGGTAAAAAAGAAAGGTTGTAGTAACACTACCTTTTTTTGAGACCCGAAGAAAAAATTGTCTCAAATCCATCCGGAAAAAAAATTTTCTTATTGAATGTGGCCTGTAGAATCCATAATTTCAAACAGTTCCAAGATTGGGCTACTAGTTCAAAAGTTACAGCCCTTTGAATTTTCTTTCGAAGTTGGTTTCTAGTCTATAACTTTTGATTGAGAAGTCTGATCGAAAAAGTACGAATTGTTTTGGATTCTACGCACCAAAATTAATAAGAAAAAGTGTTTTCCCGAGATATTTTGGTGCAGTCGATTTTTGGTAAAAAAGGAAGGTTATACACTGCCTTTTTTGAGACCCGAAAAGAAAATTGTCTCAGATCGACCCGGAAAGAAAATTTTCTTATAAAATGTGGCCTGTAGAATCCATAATTTCACACAGGTCCAAGATTGGGCTACTAGTTCAAAAGTTACAGCCCTTTGAATTTTCTTTCGAAGTTGGTTTCTAGTCTATAACTTTTGATTGAGAAGTATGATCGAAAAAGTACGAATTGTTTTGGATTCGCCTCGTCAAAATACCTTCAGTCTCAATGCGCGAAATTGAACTTCGCGCTCTTGTTATATAAATAACTATTATATTATAATTATGGGAGTTTTTTAACAACTTATTTCCTATATAACGGCGAAAGTGCAGGAATTAGCTACATAATTTTTGTTTCATGCAAATCTCGGAACATTATATATTTCAATGAATGCTATTTCAACCAAAAATTTGTAACCAGAAGGTAGATTGTGGAAACAAATTTCCAATTTTTCAATGTAAACGCCACCTTAAAGGAAAAACTGCCGCTGTGGTGTACAGAATTATTTTTAGCGCATTTCCACAAAAATTAAAAAAAAAGCGCTATTGTGGCCACTTTGTCCGTCCGTCCGTCCGTCCGCTAACTTTGCGACGCTACTAGTTCTTTATCTTAAGAGCTATTGTTCTACTTTTTCCGCTATTTGGTTCGTTATGGTGTCGAGTCTTGTACCAAGGAAGGAATTTTTTCTGTACCGCTTACAAAAAAAGTTATTGTAAAAAAAAAACAACCGTTTTTTACATGTTCCATAATTTTACACTTTTGCCGTTTATTAACGATCCTAGAGATCGTTTATAATTTTGCATTGCTATCTGTCGTCTGCCTGTTGGTCTGTCCGTCTGTTACTTTGTCTGTCTGTCCATCTATCTGTCCATGTGAACGATAACTTTGTTTAGAAATGTTCGATCGCTTTTACATCTCCGTTAGTTATGAACTGAATTGCATGAAATTCAATATGGGCATAGATTTAGCCATATAATACGCAATGCCAAAAGTTGAATCGAATCGATTCAAAATTCACAGTGCCCTTTTCGCATCTTGACCATTTATAAACCGAATTTACTTATAAAAGTATTTGAATGAAATTTGATACATAGGCACTTGGAATTAAGGAAAATCAAACGCCAATTTCAAAATTTGGTTTTGCGCATGCGCAGTGCCAACTTTTTTATTTATGGAAGAATTTAAACGAAATTTGATACATAGGCTCTTGGGATAAAGGAAAATCAAACGCCAATTTCAAAATTTGGTTTTGCGCATGCGCAGTGCCAACTTTTTTATTTATGGTAGAATTTAAACGAAATTTGATACATAGGCACTTGGGATAAAGGAAAATCAAACGCCAATTTCAAAATTTGGTTTTGCGCATGCGCAGTGCCAACTTTTTTACTTATGGAAGAATTTAAACGAAATTTGATACATAGGCACTTGGGATAAAGGAAAATCAAACGCCAGTTTCAAAATTTGGCTTTGCGCATGCGCAGTGCCAATTTTTTTATTTATATGGAAGAATTTAAACGAAATTTGATACATAGGCACTTGGGATAAAGGAAAATCAAACGCCAGTTTCAAAATTTGGCGTTGCGCATGCGCAGTGCTAACTTTTTTATTTATGGAAGAATTTAAATGAAATGTGATACATAGGCACTTGGAATAAAAGAAAATCTAGCGCCAGTTTCAAAATTTTATTTTGCGCATGCGCAGTGCCAACTTTTTATCTATGGAACTATGTAAGTGAAATTTGATACTTAGGCGCTTGGAACAAAGGAAAATCTAACATTAGTTTTAAAATTTAGGTTTGCGCATGCGCAGTTCCAACTTTCTTATTTAGAAAAGCATTGAAATGAAATTCTTCTCAATAAACTGAAATTGAAGTAGCACGTCAGCAATGGATTGCCCATGTGCAACGCTATCTTTCATATTAATTTGTGGCCGGATTTTTACGATTTTAACATAAGTTGCATCTTACAAATGGGAAATGCAAGTGGAAATGCGCTTTATGTAAATCGTTTACGATTACTTTTTAACTTGTTTGTTTTAGACCCTTAAATCCCAGAAACTAAAATCGTAAAATGTAAGTGCGAACATCTTTGAAAGATCTTTTGTTGGTTTCCTAGTCTCTTGATCCACTTATTAACGATCCTCGAGATCGTTGATAATTTCGTATTGCTACCTGTCTGTTGGTCTGTCTGTCCGTGTGCACGATAACCTTGTGTAGAAACGTCCGGTCGCACATGTTCTTCAGGATGAAAGATAGGTTGCTATTGTTTTTCAGCTACGTAGACCAACGGGGCAAAAATTTACAGCCCAAACCTCCAAAAAGGGTTTCTTTTATAACTCTTTCTTATAAAGAACATATTAATGTCCGGTTTTCTGTGTTAGTAAATATGCCTTAAACCTAAGGCAGTTGCAAAAAAATATTGCGCATGCGCATACCAACTTTTGCATGTGCGCACTCCCAATTTTGTTTATTTGTCAAGATATTTAAATGAAATCTTTTATTGTACACATCTCGAATAAAAGTAAAACAAATGCCGAATCGAAAAATTTGGTTTGCGCATGCGCAGTTGTTTTTTTTTATTTGTTAAGATATTGAAATGGAAATTTCGTATACCTCAAATAAAAGTAAAACTAATGCTGATTCAAAAAATTTGTTTTACAAGCCATGCTGATCTGGTGGGACAGAATCAACCCCTTAGGGTGTATTGTAAAAATGATGTATGTGTGGAGATCTCGAGGACCGTTCGTTGTGATCAAACGACGTCAAAACTATTATTTATTTATGTATCAATTGCTTTGAGAAAAAATCAAAACGCGTTATATCGATGCCCAAGAACTCAAGTTCACGCAATTTTT